CGCCACGACGGGCCGCACATCATCGCGCCATAATTGGAGCAGACGCGCCGCGGGAGGCCGCCGGCCCTATCAATCGACGGGGGCCGGCCCGCCGGGATGTTCCTCATCGCTGACAGCCGGCGCTGACCCGACCTGACCTGATCTGACCCGACCTGGCCTGCAGTGGCTGGCCGGAGTCTCTCGACGAGCTTCGACACACATCTTGAGAACTTCTGCTTGCTGCGCTTTCTCTGAACCATCTGACCTGACTTTTGACCTGTTGCAGACACGTTCGTTAGTTGTTCATGGTTCATCTCTGGATGCCATTTCTGATCTATCTGAAAGCAAGGTTAAACACTCTCGAGTCTCGACTACATTCCTCCACTTCATGTCGAAACCCGCGACAACTGACGCCACTGAATGAGGGTTAATTGGCCCAGTCAGGCGACGGCCGCCTCTCTCAGACACCCATCACCCCGAGTCTCATCCTCGGTCTCATCCTCGGCCCGGCAGCGACGTTGGGCAAGCGCCGCTTCTGGGGCGCGCTCGACACGGGCTGACGGGAACCGGTGCACAGTGGCCCTTTTTCAGAATTAGCACGCATAAATTCAAAATATTTTTTCTCTTCTTTTGAGTAAAAAGTAGTCTAATCGTGTGCAAAACATTCCAAACTATCCTATGGTGCCATTTTTACCTCATAAAAAATAATTATCTTTGGTAAAACTGACCGCAAAAACGAAGTTTATCGTGAGGCGCGCGGACACCACCGGCGGACCCTAAAAAGAAGGGTGAGATGAACATCAATTTGTAAGGCTTTCGGTGAGAAAATACTAAAAATTAGTGGCATGGCTGTGAAGCTGAGTTTACGTAGAAGCCCTAGAAACCACAATTTTCATTGTATAAACTTAAATAGACCACTTTTGCCGAATATTGTGAACACAATAACAGGACAATTATTAACTGGAGATGGTGGCATACATATGAAGCCTTATGTTAAGTAGCACACTCTGGAACATGTCGTATTATACATCGTTCGAATCGCCGATCTCTTCTGACCATGTCCACCAAAGGGCATCGCGCCATTTTGCGCCACTTTGCTTCTACGGTGGATAACGTGAGCCAGTTCAGTCCGCGAGCGGCTGTGGCTCCTGTTCGATACGACTAAGCTCATTGACCTGGCTCGAAGCTGGTGTCATCTGGTGTGCGCCTAAATGTGGCTTGACTTTTGCCATAAGATGTGCTTATTGAAATGTCATGTAGGCATAACGCTGTGCTCAAGAAAAACTGTCCGATTTCTTGTCGCGTTTGATGTCCAAGCCGCACAAGTCCCGTGGTCGGCTTGAGATCTAACGTCAAAAGCGCCTATGTGTTTGTATTGTTCGCGTCGCGCTGACCTTAGTTGCTGCCCGGCCGGGGCCGACTAAGGGTGGCTTGCAACAGCTGTAGATGCGGTCACGTGACGCCCTGGGGCGTCCTGGCGGTCAGTGCAACGCGGTCGGCTGGCGGGCTCGCCACACTTGCGTTCGGAGCGGCCTGGGCCGGCGGGCGAGCCGTGCGAACGTGCGCCAAATCTTGGGCCGAGCGGCCTGTCGCTGTTGGGCCGTATCTCCTTGGGCAGTTCGTTTCTTTTCTTCTCTTTGCATTGGCAAGGAATACGTCCTTGATCATGTGGTGATGTCTTGCTCCACTTTCAGGTAATGTGGGAATTAATGCGTGCTAATTCTGAAAAAGGGCCACTGTGCGGTGGCCTTCCGTCACGGCGCCGCGGCTGTCACGAATCGATCGGAACGCCTCGAGTGGCGCTCTCAGCGGCCTGCCCCACGAGGGGAGCGAGGGAGAGCGAGAGGGGTGAGGTAGGACAGAGCAGCACCGATGCGGCTCGCCGCCACCATCCGAGTCTTTGTTGATATCGATTTTCATAGCTGGTTATATTTGATTAGGGAAATATTAGACATGGCCGTTCAAACCAATAAGGCTCAGCGTCATGTTCGCTGATATTTGCGTCAGCTACATAAATTGAAAATGCGCTTGATTTACTGATAAAAGAATGCTGGAGGGGGAAGAGCAAGTAAATCCACAAGTGACGGCCTGTACAATAAATGCAATAATACCAAATAATTAATAGGTAAGATTAAGATGATTTTCTTATTGCACCATGCTCAGCTACTTTCCTTGGGCACCATGTTGACCCGCTATTAAAGGGCCTTAACCACATGTGCGTGTGTATGACATTTAGAAACCGTTAACAATCTTACCGAGTTCGCCGATAGAAAACTAAGGATACGGGTCACATAACTAACGCTTGTGAGAACATTTCATAAGCACGGCGTGAGATGGAAGATCAACTGTCCAGAATGCATTAAATAGAAATGACCGCTATTCATTGCACGTTATGATGGACCTAGCCTCGTCAACCATTGCAAGTATGTCATTAGTGAAGGGATTGGGGGCTATTGCGTCGAATAAGATGTCCGATAAAATAAATTGCAATTGAAGTGATTAACACTCAATAAATATGATCAACGGAGGGTGATGCTCATTAGTATTGCAAAACTAAATTGCTCTTCTCATGGCTTAGCTAACCATGCTGTTTTGACGACTGGCCAGCCAGTGACGGCTACAGTCGCTGTATTGGGAAATCGCAGTCAATGGACGGGACGCCCTCCCAAGGATTACACATTTTCCCACATTCACACTGGGCCCCGCCAAATGCATCTTACGCCACCACACCGCCCACCTCGAGAGTTCATATAAAGGCGGCGAACAAAAAGCATCTGGAGAATTTCTCCACTTCCCACCGGTTCCGTGAAATGCTGCGGAATTTTGCATCCATCAGCCGAGCGCCCCGTGTGCGCTACCACCGATCCGTCATCATCGATTTGGCCCGGAGCGGGCATTTTTCCATTCGGTGCCGCCATTTGGCACGCCTAATGTGTCACTCTTGTTTTGGGAGGAGGGCTCCCGTGGTGACGACGGCAGCAGCGGCGGTCGTGGTGGTGGCCTGGAACACGCCACCGGCGACGTGCCGTGGACGTGGCACTGACGTGGGCCACACGTGCGTGGACGTGCCCAAAGGAAGCGTGGCACAGACGTTGGAGTGATGCCCGCATTTTCTGCTGACATCTGCACGGATAGTGAGAACGCTTCAGGGGCGTGCACGAACTTACGGGATATGATTATATATATATATATATATATATATATATATATATATATATATATATATATATATATATATATATATATATATATATATATATATATATATATATATATATATATATAATATCACACGTCACCAAACGCAACATAAGCGGTGAAAAATGACACTTATGTAATAGACAACATCGAAGAGAATGAAAAAAAGAATAAAGCGAGGATCAGGAGTGTAGGCAGGATTTTACAAGCGTACTGCATTCACCAACAGGAGCATTTACCTAATTCTAGTTAGGCTTCCTCTCTGTTTATTATCTTCTTTTTGCTTAGCATTTTTAGGGAAACTCGCGAGGCGCGGTGCAATGAAACTTGTATATGTATTATAGCGTGTCAAGGCTTCCCTCTTGCTTCAATTTTGACCAAAGGTCACTAAAGGTTATGCATCTGCAACATTCTTGTACGTAAAATCATGGGCATTTTGCACGTTCAATGTTTCGTGTAAAATGTCGGTCAATGCTCACGTTGGCATAGTTGATCAACTCAACAGCCTACAACTACATATAAGATCAGGAGGGTCGAAATCTCTCCCGTTTATTCCCATAGCCGATCTCTTCCGCATTCTCCCGGCCTCCCGCTGTCGCTCTTCTTTGCGTCCAGAGAGGAATAGCCATTTAGTCTCCATCTTGAACCGCGCAATTTGCTAGCATATAATTGGTTAACGAAAAACCTATCATCCGATGGGATCTCCACAAAAACTGGGAGTACCTACGCGTGGCACGAGCAGCGAAAGCCGCCTCACCGCCCATAAAACCTCGCAGGATCATGCACTTGGATCTCAGCCGGTCCGAATTCCAATGGAGACAGTGAAAAGGAATGCTGGAATCAAAAGAAAATAAGCTGGGATTGAATGAAGAACGGCCTCAAAGAGTCGTGCTTTTTTAGATAATCCCATGCATTCCGGTCACATTTTAAATATGAATACGTCTTGTACCACATGTCAATTATAGACGAAATGCAGAGGCTACCGCCTCACCTCGCCATATCCGGCCGTCCGGCCCCCTTTCCACAGTCCCCTCTCCATGCTCTATGGATATCGGGAGTGTCGGCCGAGTCACCATGGACCACACATGACGTACGGAAGCCCGCCCGGCCCGGTCCGGCGCCGCCTCGTCACCGACTACAATACCGAGCGGGCCCGAGCGGCGACCGACACCGCGCGGCCGCCTTGATTTCAGGCCTTTTCACCGGTCGATAAAATTCCGTCGTGTCACCGTCATATAGGCAGCGGACCGCGGGGTCATTTTCCAGGCCGGTGGGCGCTCTGTTAGAGCAGAAGGACCACCAGGCGACTTTACATCTTATTCGCGACCATTGGCCGGAAGAATTGACGGCGTCAGGCGCGCGCTCTTGGGTGGCCTGGTGGCGCGTTGGCTGCGTCGGCTGCGTCGGTGACGGCGCAGTGGCACACCCCAGGACCCGTCAGCGGGGACAGGCCGAGCTCAGCGCCGACACCACCCCGCATAACTCACACTCTGGACTGTTCCACACCGCTCCCCGCTGCCGCCGCCGCGCCCCGCCGCTCCCCAGCCTTCGGCAAAATGGCCGAGTGGCGCAGCATCCACCCCTTGATCCAGCTCACTGGAATGTTAAACATCCAAATCGCACGAAAATCATTCATACCTTTTATTTTCCTGTCATTTTCCACCGTCATTAGGTCGACCGGAGGCCCCGCCCCTTCGCGCCCGGCCCGCCAATCAGCGGCGAGCGGCCGCCACCAAAGGGACCGCACAGGAGGCGGCGGCGGTGGCGGCGGCGGGGAGGGCGGCCGGCGTGCGCCCGACGGCCGACACTGAGCCGACGACACGGGACATTGCGCGGTGGTGGCGGCGGCCACAGTGACAGCGGCGAGCTGGAGCACCAGGGCAGACACGGGATGGCCGTCTCCGGGTCTTTGGCCATCTCCAACATGAGACCCATCTTCTCTGGATACCCGTTCCAAGGTGAGGGTGCGCAAACAGCGGTGGTGCGGTGGCGGCGGCGGTGGTTGTTGCAGGGGGCGGTAGCGACCGGCCGACCGGGCGCACATGGACGCTGACCAACGGGTGGACCATGGTGACCCGGTGCCGCATCGATTAGGACGCGTGGAATATCGAGGTCAGCGTGGTATTGAACGTCTTCGGAAAACTCTACAAATGTCCCACGAACGTGTCGACAAGTTGTAATTGCAGAAAAGTTGTAAGAGCGTGTGGCGTCTGCACTTAGCCAATCATGCTCGAGCAGAGACAGAAGGGCTACGGGTCGGGTCGAGGCGAGTCGCCGCGCTGTGTCGCGTCGGGTCGCGTTTGGCCAAGTCAACTCGAATCCAGTCGTGAGTGCTTGAGCGGCGAACCGAATCAAGTCTGGCTGCTTCCATCCAGCTGAGTCTAGCTGGGCGGTTCGATGGTCCTCAGCGCAACGGGTCCGTTCCAGGAACAGAAACTGACTAATTGGTACCTCCTTAATGAGCCCTGAGCGGTGTCGGCGGACACTTGGCACGTGAAGATTGATATACGGCGAGGCGCCGGGGTCGCGGAAGGCGACTTCGCCCGTGCATCGCTCATGAATGACCGTGTATAGCTGGATAAGTACCATGAGGACTGAGGAGTGACTCAGGACTACGCGTAAGTCACTGTTCGCCAGACATTGGGTGTGACCTGGGATGGAACCTATGGATGACCTCGTGGCTTGGGGTGGTTGATGACAGAGCTGACTGAATTATCGGTGGCCTCGCTAATCCCTAATGTCACCAGTAGCCTGCCAGCTTTGTTACCATGCAGACAGATCAGTCGACTGGCAAAGTTTGCGACGATTTCGTTCAAAAGTACCTTAAATGCGTTTTTTATATAAAAACCGATATTGATTGCAAAGGTCACCGCGTATACTATGCAACGCAGGCGAAGAAGGCACATCTGACTTTTTGGGGCACACCTTAGATTGGAACACCTTATTAAGCATGCGTATTTTAGAAGGTTGCATTGTGGTTTTTTAGCTTCTTCTCCGGATCTTTCTGATGTACATACATAGGAAATAGGCATGAGAGTGTGATATTTGCTCCAGACGAATCATTCACACATAATATTATTTTTCATTACTGTGTGGAAGTTGAAGCGAAACGATGAAAGATAACCAGAATAAGGCTAAGAAGAATTTCCTTTAGATGAATTGCCTGCATGATCATTAGTCACCACAACCCTCACATTAAGTTAAATCATAGACGTGCGGATTGGCTGTTGGCCGGTCAATGGGTACTTGGTGACTCAGTGAACTGCACATTTATATGCATATTTATTTGCTCATCTAATGTCGACACTGCAATTATCTCTCCTTTGACGAGCATGCACCGCCAATATGCTAATGTTGCATGATCAATGCCCAAATCATGCAGAAAACAGATGCATTGGTGGCCAATATCCAAGACATGAATCAGATGCTAAAAACAACTGGTATGTAGACAAAAGCCCATCGCATAGTACTGATCTCAGGCAGCTTTTGCCAAATTGTCAGGGAACTCAGATATGTTTTTCAATAGAAAAACACAATTCTAAAGAATAGTGTTTTAACTATTGACAACAAACCTTCGGTTACCATTGCACGAAATTCATTTACTCAAATACAAATTTGCTGTACGAAACTGGAAGACATGGATTACTGGACACTGGACAGATATGGAATTGAATAAATGAAATGTGTGATAAGGCGTCCTCTCAGTCATCCATGAACCTATATGTAGGCATCAAGCTACCATATAGCACCTCAAAAGTTGATTTCAATAGCGCTAAATGACGCCTTCATCTTCCTGACACTATGAACATTGAAAGATAAGCAAGTAATAGCCTTTGGCTCATTATATAATTGACAAAAGAAATGGAAAAGAATATATGTGCGATATTTCGTGTTCGACACTTTTTCATGCACTGAAAAAGTGCCGAACACGAAATATCGCACATATATTCTTTTCCATTTCTTTTGTCAATTATACAATGAGCCAAAAGCTATTACTTGCTTATCTTTTAATCATAATGGGGCTCAACGCAATTTTCAAGGAAACCCTCAATATCATTCACTATGCTATTACTTGCTTATCTTTCAATGTTCATAGTGTCAGGAAGATGAAGGCGTCACTATGAACATTGAACAGCATTAACCAGCGATAACAACCAGTATAACGCCTTTTGCGGCGACTAACGGAGCGAGCGAGAGGGTGACCCTTGCACGTGCGAAATTTCGAGGGGGTACTTCCAGCTGACTTGTGCATGGCACCCTACTAACTGATCTCTAGCGATGTGCCAAATTTGAGCACAATCGGCCCAGCCGTTCTCGAGATCTGGAAGCGGCACCCTGCACGTGCGCACGTGCAAAATGGGTCCCAACTGACTTTTGCACGACACCCTACTAACCGGTCCCCAACCATGTGCCAAATTTAAGCGTCATCGGTCCAGCCGTTCTCGAGATCTGGAATCGACCCCTGCACGTGCGCACGTGCAGCAGCACCCCAACTCTGGCACATGGATGTGCATTGCCTAGTGGGTGCCTACCTACATGCCAACTTTCAGCGCAATCGGCCAAGTAGTTACCGAGATATTGCAACAATTACAAAAGTGACACCTCTTCGTTTTGCACGTGGCACGTGCATAAGGGGTCACCCACATGCATCGGGAATAGTCCAATACTTGGTAGAAGGAATGAAGCTACCCTACAAAAATTACCGCATGTAAATCGGTCAAGTGGTTGCTGAGATATAAGCGTCACAGAAGCGTGACCACGGCCGGCCGGCCGGCCGGCCGGCCGCTCATACTCAGAAATTTCCGTTACTCTACGTAAGACTCCGCTCGCTTCGCTCGCTCCGTAACCAGAGCTCCAAACAGCTGGTCAAAAGTTATCGTTGATATCACATTTCATTCATGAACTTCATCGCAACCCACAAGTTAAGTCCCAAAAGAACATTTAGTAATCCCAAAAATGCAAACATAGGTTATTGCAAGATGGAAAGGTGTGCAGCTAAATGCGAAAGTTAGATGCGTATAACTGCAATTTAAATCGACGGTGGAATGAACAAATCACACAATGCTTTCATATTAGGTAATGCGCCAGAGAATTTCGACGGTTGGTCTTATTGCATGCTTCCTAAAAGTCAATTCATCAAGGAATTTAATTGGAACAGAACCGTCTCATGAACTGAGACACTCTTTGATCATAATGAAGTGCCTGTGTATGTAGGCATGCTTTTCAGCTATCTAACCACGTTTGAAGGACGAGCGCATATGATAAGGCATAAGAGCATGGGGAGAACTTATTTTGTCTACATGACAAGGTGATATAGTACGCTAAGGTGGAATGTATGGAGGCTTTATGCTTACATCCATTGTAGAACGACAGAAGAAATGGTGGCAACATAGAACAATTAATTCTGTGCAAGCCAGTGTTACTTTAAAGAATGCCAACAAGTATGACTCGGGCCACTTGACGGAGCATCTCCACCAGCTCTAGCCACTCCGTCCAGTCCCCGGCTGTAAGTCAGGAGGCCTGCCCGCCCTCCTCCAACTCCCCCATGTCTAACGTCCAGCAGCACCGCAGGCGCCCTCCGAGATTACACCGCACAACGCGCCAGCTCGGCCGTTATTGTTATCAAATCATTAGCCCGTCTCCTGTTACGGCACGGTGCTCAAAACTAATTGAATCCAATTTCATGCGTTTCGTTTTTCAGCTGCCGTTCTGATTGCAGTGTGCAACTGGCGCGGGCTGGTCAGTAGGGTTGAGATGGGCGGTCGGTCGGCCCCAGTGAGGTTCAGGGGCAGCGCGGCGCGATGAAATAGCTCGCCACACGCGCGCTAGCCGTGACGCGGCATTACCGGCGAGACTGGGACAAATCTGGCGGCGGCGGTGGGTAATAATTCTGGTAATTACCGCACGGGCTACCTGATCATTAGACCAGTGCGCCCCCGATTGGCTGCCGAGTTATTACACAGTGTCACTCGGTCCTTGGCCAACAGATAACCGGCTACGCGTGTGGCGAGGCGTGAAAAAGGATTTGTAGAGAGAAATTATAGTGACCTAGGTGTCAATTGACTACCCGGTGTAAGATAGGCAGTTGATTCACCATATAGCAGGTGTAAGGGGAAGCATTTATGTATAATTGACGAGTTGCGAACTTGCACAAGACGGTGACACGGATGTCGTTTGTTTTTCGAAGCGAATATTTTTTTGCAAAGATTATGAGCTGAGATGCTACGCAAATTATGGCGTCCTAACCGGGAGGTTCGAGCCACCCACCCCTGTTGATCCTAAATCAATAAAAAGATGCTTTCGCTGAGTTTCATCATCTATAAGTTTTATTTTTGTCGCGCAAGATTGAAAATTTAACTTCAAATTTCATCCGCACAAAAAATATGATTTATTTTATTTCATAGTGCATGATTGAGTTTACCAAAATCCATATGTGCCCAAGTGACTTCCACGAAGTAAGCTGTTGGCCGCTTATGCGGTTCCTGGGCTCTAAGGGAGATCAAGGTAGATACCAGCTGCGAGTATTGTTCTCAATGTCGAGAAAAGAATATGAAGCATGGCACCGGCCAGTACCTCCCGGGCCATGGCCCATTCCTCCCGGTCCGGTGTATTTTGCTGGATCGAAAAAGCACATTATTTATTGAAAGTTATCTCGAGAGTGACAAAATAGTTTATTCCAGATGCCTAATATCAGACACACTTTGCAGGCGAAAGGCAATTTCACGTGCACAGAGTGAAAAACCGGGTCTATAGCCACTGCCCACTGGAAGAAAATTGCCTTTTCACAAAACCGGCCCATATCTCCCGGGTCTCCCCTACATGGTTAGGGACCGGTTAGTAGGGTGCCGTGCAAAAGTCAGTTGGGACCCAGTTGGCACGTGCGCACGTACAGGGTGCCGCTTCCAGATCTCGAGAACGACTGGGCCGATCGCATTCATGATTCAAAGTTGGCACATCGCTAGAGACCAGTTAGTAGGGTGCAGACTGCAGTGCACAAGTTAGCTGGAGATACCCCTTCGCAATTTCGCACGTGCAAGGCCCACCCTCTCGCACGCATCGGTGGTCGCCCCAAAAGGCGTTTTACTGGTTCATATTAGCCGTTTTCACGACGGTCATCTGGTACGCATTTGGTGCACAGTTGGTGCAGATTAGGTGCAGATTTGGTCAAATTAGGTTCAGTGTGTCTCTTAGTAGCTATCAGCTAGGGTTGCACTAATTGCTTATATGCCTGGTTTGTCATCTTAACAGAGCGCATCATCGATTAAAACACTGAAATAAATTCATAAAATAAATGTTACAGGGAGTTTGAGAAATCCGTGAGTTTGCAAACTCCCGAGGGAGTTTGCAAACTCACTGACCGGTCAGGGAGTTTGAGAAATTCCACAGTGGTTGGGACAAATGAAAACAAGTGTGCAGCATGTGAGTGGCATACGTGCCATCTATGATGTTAAAACAAAGGCAGCTAATTGTAGGGCATAACCGTCGCACGCTGACAGAAAGCTTGCAGATCATATGCACTATGCACACCATACTTTTCATTTTAAACCGTTCAGTGACCTAGCCCAAACATGTAAGTGCCGCCGCTTTAGTATACCGCCGTTAGTCATACATGTATTAAGTTCACGGCCCAATTGTATCCGTTCCACAGAAGTGTGGCTATTCCAGAGTCAGGCTCAATATATCAAAGTAAAAACAGCTCAGTTGATCATTTATGCTAAAGCATAGGCACACGTCTGGGACACTTGTGTGGAACGGATCTATGTATTGTGTGGGACGGATTGTGTGGGACGTGAACTAAATAAGTGTATGACTAAATGAAGCGGCAATACATGTTTGGGCTAGATCACTGACAAGTTTAAAAGCTTAAGTAGGCATTTATGGTATGCAAATGATCTGTTAGCTTTTAGTCAGCGTGCGACGGTTAAATAGGCCCTTCAACTAGCCGCCTTTGTTTTAACATCATGGACGCCACTCACATGCTACACATTTGTTTTTATTTGTCCCAACCGCTCTGGAATTTCTCAAACTCCCTGACCGGTCAGTGAGTTTGCAAACTCCCTAGTGAGTTTGCAAACTCACTGATGGGTCAGGACTCACGGATTTCTCAAACTCCCTGTAACATAAAGATATTTGCTGTAAAAGAGATTAGGTTCAGATTTGGTCAAATTAGGTGCACTCGCCGGATAGCCCGTCGTGAAAACGGCTATTTACATGCACGCATATCATCTGCTGTAAATGGCAGCTCAGAGAATTTTCGAAAAGGACGAGTGCTATGTGTAAATTGGGAGTCAAGTCACATTTTGGCCGCCCCTAGGCCTGAGTCTGGCCCTCTTGGATGACCCGCTAGTGCGTATACCCAAGCAAATGTGCAATCATAGGGTTAGTTATAGAGGAACAGTGCAGTTATAGGCCCTTGCGTTTCCAGATCATGCGGCTTCTGAAAAAACGGTCATCAGGCGAAAAGTCAAAACTTACCCCGACTGGCCGTACTGCTTCTAACCAGTCGCCCCCTCTGTCTCTGCCAGGTCAGGGTCGGGTCAACCAGCTGGGTGGCGTGTTCATCAACGGTCGACCGCTGCCCAACCACATACGACTGAAGATCGTCGAGATGGCGTCGGCCGGGGTGCGACCCTGCATGATCTCTCGGCAGCTGCGCGTCAGCCACGGATGCGTCTCGAAAATCCTGAACCGCTACCAGGAGACGGGCAGCATCCGGCCCGGCGTGATCGGCGGATCGAAGCCGCGCGTCGCCACGCCAGAGATCGAGAACAAGATCGAGGAGTACAAGAAGGAGAACCCGGGCGTCTTCAGCTGGGAGATCCGAGACCGGCTCATCAAGGTGAGAGTTACGTCTGGAGCCCGGTGAGATGGGTGAGATCGGTAAAGATGGTTCAAGGATTATCAGGTGCAACTCGCGCTACCCTTGATCGCCACGACAGGTCGACAAATGGTATTACGAGAGTTAGACTTGGCTTGGGGCATTCAGGACATCTGTCGTCAATGTTCAGGTTCTTTAGGCTTTACTGATAAAAAGATTCAGCCTACATCTTTTGTAAATGCTTCTTGTGGAATGTGGGGGGAGGGGGACAGTTTGGGCAGAGACAAATTGTATGTTTTCGTCTTAAAACCAGCAGCTCCAGCCATCATGCTCAGTGATCATTGCTCACTAACTGAAGAGGCGGTACCTTAGGTGTTTCAGCACGAACACATTTAAATTTGAACGATCTAGGTCGCGTGAACTCGATGCATATTTTCAGTTCGGTTTTTGTTTTATATATAGAAATGACACTGTTTTTAGACAGGCATTAATTTATAAATTTACGTGTTTATTTTGCCGAACAGCAGTAAAAGAGCGTTGCATTATGTTTCATACGTTAGTTCATGCTTGATTGGACTGAACTCTCATAATGCTCAAAATGAATTGGTGTTTTGCAAAAAACAGATTTGATCAGTGACATTCCGGACTCTACATAAGTCTAAAAACAGTGTCATTTCTGAAGTTGACAGATTTAAAAACAGATTTGATCAGTGACATTCCGGACTCTACACTAACATTCACATCACAGTTCCACCGAACCCCTGCAGCTCAGCACACCCACCTGTTCTCTTCTCTCCTCGCTGTCCGTTAGCCGTCGGTGGGAACGCGAGGTCGCTCGGGACACCTCTCCCCAGCGACACCAACGCCCACGCCAAATCCACCCCGCCGCCATTATCGCCGCCACGGACCGGCCGTTACATGGACCCTCTCTGGCTCAGCAGACCCGTAGAAAAGGGAACGTCACGCCGGCGGGCCATCGGCGCTTAACGACAGCCCGGCCGACTGTCTGAAGCCGATGCACTCGGGTTTATTTGTTGGGGATGCTTGATGATATTGACAGGTTTATGTGGCCGCAGGGAAGCTTGTTCTCCGAATGGTCGGGCTCTCTGACTGATCTGGGCCTTAGTTTAGGACGGTTTGTGCAACTAATTAGGGTCTTGCTACGACACATGAAGTTCCGTTTCTCCGGGTTACTGGCCTACACCCTGTTTGAAGACGGTCTGTTTGGCTGCATTATCGCGTTTTTTTATTAAAAATTAACCGGATTAATCCGTGCGTGACTGACCTGTGCCCTGTTCCAGGACGGTCTGTGCGACCAGTTAGGGTCCTGCTGGGACTCAGAAGGTTTGCGCCCTATGTGACTGACCTGTGCTCTGTTCCAGGACGGTCTGTGCGACCGCAACTCGGCGCCCTCCGTCAGCTCCATATCGCGGATCCTGCGCGGAGGACCGGCAGGGGACGAGCTCAGGAAGGACCACAGCATCGACGGCATCCTCGGAGAATCGGCAGGTCAGTCAGCCATCGGATTTGTGTTGGACTTGAAATATTTTCGTTTACCGAGCCCTCTTGGATTTATGTGATTTGGACACAAATGCATTTGTGAAGCCCACTGCCAACAGCTTCTGGTAATGGCTTCTGGTCAATACGGCATGACAGAAATCATCCATGATTCTGTGCTCAAAAAGCTTGTGAGACTCCATAAGCTGCATTGAATTAAATTCGACGAAGACGATGACGGATTTACATTTATTTGCCCGGTTCTTCTCTAACCCATGAGTAAGAAGCATAACATAATTTTCCCGGTATTGAACGTTTCTAGTACCTCTTATGTATGCAATATATGCACACTCAGCTGACAGTTCCGACAACCACCGGTATTGCCGTCACTCCGTGACCCCGTGTGCCGCGTACGGAGCCCGTGGCGCAGCTCGCGGCCTCTCTGGCGGGCCGTAAAGCTCAGTTCACACGGCGCCGCCGATCCGCTCTGTCGCGCCCGTCGCCAGCTGCTCTAACAAAGCCGCGGCTAACAAGACAGCCGCGCCGCCGCCGCCGCCGCCGTAAACGATACGACGCGCCCGACTTGCAGCCGGCGCGCCGCCGCTCGTCGCCGGCAATCCCGGCTCATCACGTGACCTGTGCGGTCTGTGCAGCGGGCCGGGGCACGTGGCGGCGGCGGTGGCCATCCCCAGTCTGGTCATGTGCGCCGGCAGTTTGTAACAGCGCTCCCCGCTGCTCCACCGATGTCGAGAGGCCGGACCGCCGTGCGCGCGCACACCGGATATTAATTACGTCGGCGTGCTGCGGCGCGGCGCGGCGGCCGCGGCGCGGGCGGCACTGGTGGCGCGCGCGCGGCAAAAAGCGCCGGTCGTGGCCGACCGCCGGCGCGGAGAGGTGTAATCTAATTAGGTGCCTGGGTGGCGGCCGACTTCTGAACGGGCGGCGGCTGATTTTTCACATTCCTGGCAGCCTCCTGGCGAGCATTCCTCACAGTCCAGTCAGGTGTGAGGTGTGAGGTCCGACCGACCGCAGCTCGCCGGGATAGGTGGTCAGGCGCGCACCACCGGGAGGGCTTATTCAGTTCTGATCGCCTGCTCTGTGGATGAGCGGCCACACTACAGCTCTGTCTCAGTGTAGAGGCCAGGCCTGGCCAGACCCACGGCCTGAAGAACAGAAGGTTACCGATTCAGAGGCGTCACGAACGTATGTCAGTGTTTGCGAAGATAAAAATGCCTAATAAAGACACAAACCAAGTTAAGAAACCATTGCTTTTGTGTTTTCTAAATGAATGGCCCAAGATCGGCCTAAATCTCACGGGAACCAGACCAGCCAGGAGCTCGTCTAACAGGCATCTTTACGTAACAGCAGGTCAGGCTACGTCAATGAAATCGACTCACTTAGCGGAACCATAGTTTGCACTTTGCCTTTCAGAGTTTCCAGTTTAAGCCCAAGACTGACAGTCGATTTTCAAACGCTCCACCCTTTAGCAGCAAAAAGCTGAACTCAGCTCTTTGCAGCGATTTGCAGCGCCGCACTCACTAAACGGTGCAATACATCATACGAATGCTGTACAAAGCCGACGGTGAACAATGGCTCCCAGCGAAATATGAGCTCCGAACAGAAGGGTTGATGAGTGGGGAAGGGACCGGTGAATGGTGGCTGGTCGAGCGTCCCGCTCCAGACTGGGATGTCGGGTGCAGGGGTGCGCGATGCTGCCATGCTGGTGGAACGGGGGACGGGCCCGTAGGACTGACTATGGGAGGGTGGAGCGAACGGCCATTTTGGAATCAATGGTCACGAGCCATTTAGTTCAGTTGACACGGACCACAGCATATATTTGGATGGCTGATTTATATCAAAGTTATGATCATAGAAGCTCTGCTTCTTTGACAATTGTGTTATTTCGTAAACTGATTTATGACATTGAAATGGAAGAGAACCGCTAGAACTCGACACTACGGTGATTATTTTCACAGATGATAAGTGTCCAATGTCCTTTTTCTGCTGTCGAGTAGAAATCATACACCGATGTTATGCAGCAATGCAGTTATGCACGCAGCTCGCGGACCCCTCCCCTCCTCCCGGCCCTCCCACCGCCCCCTCGGCGCGTCGGCCGCCTGCCGCCGACGGGAGCTCCCATAAATCTGTGTGTCTCAGGAGGGGGTCGGCGGGGCGAGCCTGGCGGCCGCGCGGCCCGGTTAATGCCACTGCGCGGACCCCACGCACGCCGCGGCGATCCTTCACTCGGCGACGACAGCCGCACAATGTTAATTGCCACGATTTAAAATGTAATTGAGTGCCGGCAGAGCTGCGTGGCTGGACCGCCGGTCCGCGCGGGCTATTTGTCTGCGAGTGACCGCGCCGGGGTTTCGGTTTCTTCCGACTGGCTGCGGTTCGGTTAGGCTTTCATTCCGGTGCAATTAGTGGTGTTTGAACAGCTCGGATTCATTACGCACGGCTCATTGGCCGTGAGAAGGGGAGGGAGCGGCGGCCTGGAACGTGTACGGCGCACGCGCCGGACAGACGCCGTCGGTCGTCGAACCGGGGTCAAGTGACAAGGTGGCAAACAGACGTGTCAGCTGTCATCGAATAAAAACGAGCAGGGAGCTAGCCGCCGAGCGCAGCCGATCCATTGCATCTAAAGTTTTGGATAACGGTGGTGGCCCTCCTTCAGTGGTGACCCATCTCCTAGACGACTGTAACGTACCCCAGGTGACTGAAACCCACACCTCTCCCATTTGATCGTTACCTCTCCAGACTCCAATAACCGTTACTGACCCATTCTCTCCCCAGGTGACTGCAGTGACACGGAGAGTGAGCCGGGTCTGACTCTGAAGAGGAAACAGCGCCGATCGCGAACCACCTTCACCTCAGAACAGGTCGAGACGCTGGAGAAGAGCTTCGAGAAGACCCAGTACCCAGATGTCTACACACGCGAGGAGCTGGCCCAGAAGACCAAACTCAGCGAGGCCAGGGTCCAGGTAAGGCGACACAGTAAATTGTCTCAGAGGAGGTTTTGTGGTTAAACGGTTCGGCTAAATCGCCATGCTAAGAAAATTACTTATGGTTATTTATACAATTATCATTTCGCTTAAATTGGTTTAATGGCTTTTGATAAGCGCTTACTTATTACTTAGATCCTTCTTTTTATTAGATGTTTACTTAACCCATCAGTTCGTAACTACTTAGCCCTAGCCCCCACAAAAATTGACAAAAATAAACAGACGATAAGCCAAGGTAATTTCAAACGCTGGCATACGGATAGCATACGTTTACGCATAATAAATGCTGACCGTACTGTGGCACAATCGTTGACAAGCTGGCTGAGCTGATGCCTGACACCATCTCCCCGTTTCCAGGTGTGGTTCAGTAACCGGCGGGCCCGCTGGAGGAAGCAGATGGGTAACCAGCAGAGCGGCTCGTTCGGCTCGCTGGCCTTCCCCGTGTCCTACACAGGCGGACAGTACGGCGGACTGGCGGACACCGGCGGACAGCACGGACACGGTGGGTGGGATGAGAGAGAGAGAGAGAGAGAGAGAGAGAGAGAGAGAGAGAGAGAGAGAGAGAGAGAGAGAGAGAGAGGAGAGAGAGAGAGAGAGAGAGAGAGAGAGAGAGAGAGAGAGAGAGAGAGAGAGAGAGAGAGAGAGAGAGAGAGAAGAGGAGTAGAGGGACATGAGACGTGTTAAACGAAAAGAGACAAGTCACGGATTGAAAGAAATATGAAATTATGACATTGACATCGAGATGAATCTGGATGCTGGACGGAGCATTCAATGCCACCTCTCTGGTCACTTGAATAGCTTGTGAGGAGGGAGGGTGGGGAAGGCGATATGGACAGATAAGTGTCCACACAGCGCCATCTCACAGCGGGGTGCCCCCTCAATGGAGACTCCCGGCCAGACGTTTATGAGACGCTGAGAGGCGTAAACGTCGCCGCCGCGCTGCTGGCGAAACAGATTTTGTTTGATCGTAGAACACTTTGCAGAGACACCCAGGAGCAGAGACCTTACTTTCTTTAACTTCAACCTTTGCGGTACAATTTTATATTATTTACAGAGCATTATGTTGACATTGCCAAAGGCGATTGGAGCGCGACAAGAAGCGAGAAACGTACTCACTGGTATGGCATGGTGTCAGAGATATTTGCACGGCACTGAATGGCTGTTGTTGGCAAATCAAGAACATTTTTCACCTTTGTTTGTGTCCTATGGTGAAACGCCATATCTTTTGTGCAAGTATTTTTTTCTCTGCCCCTTCTAAAGAACCAAAATGTGTTGAAAGTGACAGCTCACTGAAATCCCTGAAGTTCTGCGACCGTTCGCCGCTCCGGGCCATCTCCGCCCTGTCCCTCCCCGGACCCATCCCGCGCCGCCCCCCTCAGCACTCAGCCCTGACCCGACCCGCGCTGTCCGCAGACCCGTCAGCCTGGAGCCGGTCGGCGGCCGCCGGGTACGGGCCGTCACTCCTGCAGCAGCAGTCGTGCTCCAGTGGCTTCCAGACCTTCCCGGAGGCGGCTGCGGCCATGCCCAGCCTTCAGACCCAGGCGGCGCTGCAGACCCAGATGGCCAGCCTGCTGGGGTCTGCCGGAGGCACGGGAGCTGCCGCGGCAGCCACCGCTGGCTACGGCGTCCAACAGGGCACCGCGCAGGTGAGAAGATCGGAAGTTCAGGGAGATAGGCAGGTCAGCGCGCAGTTAAAGACCTGTAAGTCATGAGAGAAGCGATTGGGTAGCTGCCAGGGTTCAGATGGCGGATCGGCTCAAAGGCCTCTGCAATCTAGTATGATCCTGAGGGGTTAGCTTGTTGGGTTTCTGAGGGTTCTATCTTTTCTGTTCTATCTCACATGAACTAATCTGCTGGTCTGATCCTCCGACCTTGTGCATATCATATTTTTTCGACGCTGCTAATTGTTAAGTGCTAATAGTGTTGATGGTGCTGACAGCGCTCTTGCGTCTCGTTGCAGCAGTCCTCAGTGGCAGCGGCGGCCGGCTGGAACTTCCACAGCAAGGAGACAACCACGACGGCCCAGACGGTGGGGGCCAACTCCAACCCCGCGGCGGCCGCCTGGAGCCACTCCTTCGGCGCTGCCGACAACTACAAGTGAGTGCAGATCGAGGGGATCATCTCAGATCAGTCATCATTATCAATGGGCAGATTATCTACAACTGCTCGTTGAAATGCCAAACGGTATGATGATATGTTTTGTTGCTACAAGAAAGTGATAGGGTGGATTGCAGATGGGATTCAATATCGTATAGCTGGCTCATTGAGAGGCCTATTCGTGCCTTTTCCGTTTTATCTGCAAAGGTAGAAAGCGGTCGACACGTTACAAAGCTAACTTGCATCTAACTCACGATTTTCTTTTTTCTTTCAGCGTGGGCTCCGGCAGCGAGTTCCTGATGTCGCCGCACTACGGCGGACAGTTTCCCGCGAACGGCTACAATCACCACCAACAGCTAAAGCAGCGAGGGCTCGGACTGTTCTAATCGACTGCGACTTATACAGCTATTCACAAATTATCATTACACAGTGATTCTGTGGAGTCAGAACGGACAGATCCAGCCGTGAAGTGAGACGGTCGTCACAAGTGTGTGCTGACATATTGCTCGAATATATTGCATTCTGGCGAGCAGCGGCGATTTAACTGCCCGTGCGCAGCTCATTCCAGCTGTCGAAGGGTTCTACGGTCTCTACGTGAAACCTTTAATGTTAAACTTGCCTTTCAGTATTATGCCTTGCTTCCCAAAATCTCGGATGGTATTATTGTATGATGCTGACATATCGCCTCGTGTGTGATTGCGTACACTCCTATAGACATTGGTGAGACGTCCGTCTGTTTTTGTGTTATTTGATGCATTGATTCATTGTGCGCTATTATTTTGTTGGAGTGCCATATCTTTCTATATGTCGGGCACTGACTCTCCGGCAGAAGTCCACCTATAAAGGTTCCCGACAAGTTTGGTTGCTTCTTTTTGCTGCATGCACTTTATAAAGGCGCATGGAAAAAATAAAGCCGACATCTTTCAATACGATGCGTATCAAAAGGTCGGCTTATCGTATTCATTCCCACCATTATGCAGATATATCTGGTCAAATAAGCGCGGCGTGATCTGGCTTTGTGCAGCTGTGCTATGGCCAACCGATGTGCCAATTATGGTGTATGAAATCGTCATTTAAGTGTATATGTCTATTTTGCATTAGAGTTGTGACGTGCATTGCGAGTTTCAAGGCGTGCTGCTTCCTATGTGTCCCAGTTGAAATATTTTCACCACGCATCTAAACTAGCGAAATTTCATGACTTTTCGGCAGATACTGTTTGACTAATCGTTTTAACAATCCTCATTTCCTGTTTGTTAACAGACTGTAGGTTACATAATATGACTTGAGCTTGAGGTGACCATTGTATGCCGTGCATTGTTTTTTTTTTCTTTGCGTTATTGCATAGTAGGTATGAGTATTGGAAGTGATAGTTGCCTTTTGCGGTTCCTTGGAAATCAATAAAGGTAAAAACAACATAGGTATGTGAATCTTATCTGGAAAGAGATGAGCTGGGGACATTGAAAGTGGCGAGTCACAAAAGCACAGGTGCGGTCTCTGTTCTTTTCTATTCTATATCCGCTTGTCGACCAATGATTTATGCCCTTTTCCGCTATCTTATCGTAAACAAATGAGAGCGACCAAAAGCTGGTTTCTACGCAGTAACACTGATTTAGCTATGATTTATGGTACGCACCTACTGCTAATCCATATTAGTTATCTAGCAATTACATAATGGATAGGGGAAACCCGGGAGGTATGGGCCGGTTTTGTAAAAAGGCAATTTTCTTCCAGTGGGCAGTGGCTAGACCCGGTTTTTCACTCTGTGCACGTGAAATTGCCTTTCGCCTGCAAAGTGTGCCTGATATTAGGTATCTGGGATCAACTATTTTGTCTCGAGATAACTTTCAATAAATAATGTGCTTTTTCGATCCATCAAAATATACCGGGAGGTATGGGCCATGGCCCGGGAGGTATGGGCCGGTGCCATGCTTCCTATTCTTTTCTCGACAATGAGAACAATACTCGTAGCTGGTATCTACCCTGATATCTCTTAGAGCCCAGGAACCGCATAAGCGGCCAGCAGCTTACTTCATGGAGGTTTCTTAGGCACATATGTATTTTGGTTAAACTCAATCATGCGCCATGAAATAAAATAAATAATATTTTTCTGTTCGAATGAAATTTGAAGTTAAATTTTCAACCTTGCGCGACAAAAATAAAACTTATTGAAGATGACAATCAATGAAAGCATCTTTTTATTGATTTTGTATCGACGGGGGTGGGTGGCCCGAACCTCCCGGTTAGGACGCCAAAAGTTGCATAGCATCTTAGCACATAAATTTGCAAGAAAGCTTCCAATTGTCTATCCAGTCTTAATTTGCATGCTTTAAACTTTATGTTAGCATTCGTCTGACATCATAAAACGAGTCTGGTTCAAATTTATCACAAATTTTCTGTATGTACAGTATTTTACTCGAAGAGGGCAAAAACGCTTTATCACCGCTCATTGCCAAAGAAGACTGAGGAAGATTTTGAAAATCACGTGGGTTGTATAACGGAATGGCTGCTACCAGTTTACGCTGTCAAATGTGTAAAAATACGCAACACTTCTTCAAAACTGCGATGGCCCATACCTCCAGGGGGCCCATACCTCCCGGGTCTCCCCTACCTGTCTTTCGTCATTTTGGACATAAGTTGTTTAATGTTTACACTTCCGCCCTCCAATACATAAGGTCACTGATGAATTAATGCAAACGGATAGCTAATAATTTCTTATTATACAGTAGCAGTAGTACGTAGTAGCAGCAATACCTAAAAACACGCAAATTTGAAATATTCACGTAGCAATGTATAAAACTATATGAAACTTGCTTATTCGCAAATATCTCTATATCTCTGGCGTGCTGAATCATTAAAATATGAGAGAAACTCTTATCCCGCACCGTAGACAGTGTTAACCATTGCTTCAGGTGCAAAGAGAGAAAATTATCAGATGTCCTTTAATTGATTTTTTAAACGTCCGAACGATTAACAAACTGTTAAACGTCTAGTAGACATTTGGTCTAGTCTGAATAATGTCGTATTTTTTATATAAAATATACTTATTACCTTTAAGTGCCCGAAACATATCGGTGGTAAGGGATAAAATTATTAAATTGTTCGTAGGTAGAAAAATCTTTTAAACGTCTTGCCTGTCGGCTCGACGTTTAAAAGATTTGTTCTACCTACTCGCGGTTTAATATATAGTAAATGAATGTCTCTACCTATCACATATAGTCTGACTCGCTACATAACGCATGCGAACTCACAAATGTCCTTCTTTGAGGAGAGAACGAGAAAAGCGAGGAAGGAAAACCGATATAAATGACCGTATTTGCGGGGGATTAGGAAGAATTCACAACCCATGGGAGGGGAAGGGAGGGTAGCACAACGCGGTACTCGCACTACAAGTCACCTGAGCCGGGGAGTCGCCATTCAGCGGAACGATTACAAACCGCAGCCAGTTTTTTGCCCGCGAGGATTCACAAAAGGGGCAGATATTTTAACGGAACTGAAGAAGTAGAACGTCTTTAAATTGAGCGTATGAAATGAATGGAGTGGATGTGGGACACAGTGGCCAGACATGTATCATATTTAGTGACTTGCGTGTGTTAGAGTCAGATTCAGTTCACAAAAAAGGTCCAAAACGTGTTTCCATTGATGGGCAAGGAATAGCCGGATGTCTCAAAGCATGCATTCATGGACACAATATAAATTGTGTTGTGTTGGGATTATAAAGGCTCAGTGGCATAATACGCTCGATTCCAAGTTCAATTCCGCACCCAAGCGAAAGGATTATCTGGTAACTGATGACGTTATATTGAACAGAATCCCATCCCCCGCTGACTTCCGACGCTGTATAAAGCCGAGGTAGGGGGAAGACGGTGCCTTTCCGTGCCAGGGTAATATACGGCTGGTGGAGGGGCGGCCACCAGTTTCCAGCCGCTGCCACCAGACGGCAGCAGCTGCTAACTCCCCGGTGCCGCCAGCGAGCGACGGGGCCGCCCGTGGGCCGTGAGGCCACCGATACACATTGGTCCCGTAGATGTCCAGTGAGGCCGAAGTTCAACATCCAATACCAGGGGCCAAGACTTTTGGGCATCTGCACACTAATTTTGGTATGTCCATACATTTTGTTTGTTTGTTTGTTTGTTTTGTTGGGTTAGGCCCTTTCGGTCCAATGATACCATTTCAGAGCCGGGAGGATGATAGGATATAGGGGGAGACATTGGTCTGGGCAGGCACCTTAGTGAGTCGCCGGGGCTGAGCCCGTCCAGAGGACAGGCCACCCAGCCCTAAGGCACTCACTGCACCCGGCTACGGGGTGCGCTCCCTCGGGAGCAGCGGTGCCGCTCCAAGGGAGCAGCCCGCAATCCGCATGAGATAAAGTTGCCTGTCCAGCCCGGAGGGGGGTTGCGGCGTGGAGGAGAAGGATTTCAGCATCCTGAGGATAGAAGCACGGAACGGTGCATACATTTTGGTATGTGTACGCGTATGTACTTCAGATTTGATGACTTGTTAGTGCATGAAGATACCTAAATGATTGAATGTCTGGATATGACATATTTGTAGTGAAATAGACGACATTTCACTCACATGTTCCGGTTGGTGTTAGGGCTGCCATCGGCCCACAGAATCAAATGTGGGGACAATCGGCTTTTTCATGGACGTTGATCATTGACCACTGCACTGATCAGATCGCGATCGAGTCAGTCAATTTATAGGGACATATGTCGTCTATCAGAGCGAGCGCCCATAGCGACCATAGTCTATCGGAGCGAGCAGCACCGGAATTTCATTGCTTGTTTTGGTGATAACTGCATTTTATGAGTTGTTTCGTTTCGACCGTTGACGCACGACCTATAAGCTGCTTTTCCCCCTCTCATTTTCTTGCGATGTTTGTTGAAGTAGTAGAAAGCAATAACTAAACTTGCAAGCTACATACAGACCGTTCTTGCACAACACTTTAACACATGCCGACAAGCAATCCAGGTCACGAACACTGGCGGATCTGCAGAAAGGCGATCGTGGACGCTGCCGGCTGCGAGGCAAGTGTGCATACCCCAAAAAAAGTTTCTCCAATTTCAATAACTCCCTGGATTGGATTTCGATTCCTTGCGCACTGCTGAGCAGTTTAAACCAAAATTTTCTTCATAAAAGTTGTTTTGTTTACTTTTTATTCTAAAAACGCAGAATTTTGTCGATTTTGGGTGCCTCGGAGGGCATTATCCCCATCCCCCTGGATCCGCCAGTGGTCACGAAAGGTCGACCCTAAATGACACAAATGTGTCTGTGGTTTTAGATGCATTAGGAAGACTAAGGATTCAAGGTGCAGGATGCACTTTCTGGATAACGATTTTTTTTTTTAGTGGGGAGAAAGCTTAGATAATATTGTTAGTGCTACCACTTAGGTACGTACTTTGCATTTTAAGGTAGGTATCCATTCAGTTCCCTATATTAAATTCATAGATCATCGTTTATCATGTTATTATAAGGCATCGTTTACTGTGTAGAGATAACGAATTGAATTGCATGCTTAATGCTTATGTTTAGGCCAAACTCATAGAAAATTAGGTTATTTTTATTCTTAGGAACATTAGGTCTGTGTGTTGTTCTCAGCTAAAAAGAATCGTTGAAAGCAGAAGGAATGTAACTGTTCAGACGCAACAAATCGATGCATTTTACACCATTTACTCGTGAGCTGATATAAGGCTAAACACCGCGTTTTCCTATAAAAGACCGGGGTCTTCGGCTGTCCCACATTTCCTTTTCCCATTTGTGGACCAAATTGGGTGAGACGTCTAGCGTCCTTTTTATCGGCCAAATTACAAAGCACCCCGTTTAGCGCACCGATGCCCTTGAGCTGCGTCACACCACTCTGAAAGTATCACACCACCAGTTCTAACACGCCCTGAAAGGGAAGGTGCGGCTGTCTCTGCCCGCGGTCGCTGTTTACAAAGCCCTACAGGATCCAATCGACGTGCCGCTGTTGTACGCCTGTGTCGTAGATCCGAAAAAAGGCATCGGAAGCGTCGTCCCACACAGCGGCGGACGCTCTCCTTTCGCGGGTGTCTCCTCCTTTTCCTCTGAATTTTTGTCATTCTGCGGCGGCGCGTTTGACGCTTTGTGCTCCTTTGATGCGCCCTGAATGGCGGCACACCACAACTGTAGCGGTTCGCGTCTGGAAGGCGGCGCGCGACACCGTCGGATCAGTGGCACCGCCGCCGCCGCGCCTCAATGAGCTGCCGGCCGGGCCACCCCGATAGTGTCCCTCAGGGCTCTGCGCTGGCGCCACCGCGATTGTACGCCGCCCAGCCGCCGCCCAGATGTTTACAGCAATTTGACAAATGAAGCAGGGCATAATTTGCTGCGCCGAGATAAATGATCAGGCCGCCTCTCCTGTTGCGGACGGTTTGTTGGTAAATAGTGCTGGCCCATCGCGGGGTTCTTCAAAAAGGCATTCCCGGCGCGCGGCGATCACGGCGCGATTGAGCGTCGGTTTGGGATCGGAGCGCTGATGTCGCGCCACAATGGCCGCAGAAGAGCCGCCGGTGACGGATGGCGCGCAGACGGCGATCGGCCGACCTGGCGGTGTCGCGCGGCGCCCATGGAGACCCGGCCGGGGAGCGCCAGATTGCGCTGTGGGATCTATTAGTCGCTCGTGTGCCCGTGCGTCCGTCGGATTCCACAGATGCCGGTGTGACTGGATGAAAACGGTGAGCACAAAAATGCCAGTTTTATTCCTATTCTGGAGGTGTGAGAAGGATGACTGTGGAATCTTCAGTTGAAGGTTCAGACGTCGAGAGATCAAACATCGAATTAGAGGACTTTGGAGGATTGGTTAACCGAAAACCGAGGGAAGAACCTTGATGTTTGATTATTGAACAGAGAATGGCATAAGTAACTCATTTGTGACGTGACCACTTCATTTATTGCAAATCTTGAATAAAGCTCATTTTCTCAATGTGAGCGACACGATCAAATGCATTCTCATCAAGCCGTATAATGGCATGCATGCTATAGGGCACACACACATAATAAACTTGCAAAATAAGTAATTAGGGAAATAATGCATACAGCATACATATCACAAAAACAGCTGTGATCACATATACCTGGCGACTAATAAGCCAGTAAGGGCAAAACATGTTGCCATGCAAAGGACCGAATGTGTGCGTAAATGTCATTCATCCGATGATGTCCCTCGCAGCTTGCGTGCGAGCCCTCAGCTTACGGAGCCTGTCGATCGTGTACGCCAGGCGATCTCCGCGCGGGGGTGCGTGGTTCACCAGCGTCACCCCGAACACTCCCCTGAACTCGTCCTCGCCGGCCTCCAGCACTGAGGTCAGCCGGTGACCGGCGAACGGGTGGTAGCAGCAGCGCAGCTCGCCTACATCACTGCAGATGCGCGCCGCGCGCCCGGACGGGTTCGGATCGGAGGGCTCGGCGCCGCGGCAGCAGTGCAGCACGCGCCGGCCGCGCCTGCGCTGCTCGCACTGGCCAGTCTGTGTCAGAGTCGGCAGCAGCGGCACCAGGTCAGCCGGCAGCCGCGGGTACTGGTCGCGGCCCGGCAGCATGTAGCAGCAGCTCGCAGAGAGGAAGGAGGAGCAGAGCCGCGGCGCCGGCAGGTTCTCCAGCATCGGCCGGTTGAAGCAGCAGACGAGGTTGTTGCGGTGCGTGCAGCCCTGGAGATTGACCTTGATGCTGTCGTCTCCGACGTCGAACAGAATCGGACGGAGCCCCGAGGCCGAGTAGGTTATCGACGTGATGTTGGTTTCGCTGTCGAACACCTCCTCTCCTGGAATAAGCGCATTATAACGATACGAGGTGCGGCTAAAAAGAAACCGGACTGCTCGTGCTGGCCATAAACTAGGGGACCTGAAGACTAGCGAGACACTTGGCATTAATCTTTAGCATATTGTCGTGATGTGTGCCAAACGGCATCTCGATATCGCAATTATTCTCCTTTCCACAGCTCTTTGTTTTATCGATGTTCGGCGGCCTTGTCATCGCCTGGCTTCTACGATGAACTTCGAAAAAAGAGGGAACATCACGTTCCTTTCCAGACTGGAGAAAAGTCCAACAGAGATGCTGAATCTGTTCAAGGCTGTTAATGGGGAGCAAGTCGTGTAACATGCAAGTGTTTGAATGGCATACGAGGTTCAGCACTGGTCGTGAGGATGTCGGTGATGACCCCAAGGTCTGGAGGTCCATCAACGTCCGCGCGCATGTCGAAGTCGAGGGTGGAGATGACATTGATCGTCTTTTTCGATCATAGGGGATTCGTTCACCGCCAGTTCGTGCTGGAGGTGTACCACAGTCGACCAGCCACTTCTACAAGGAAGACCTGGGACGCCTCATTTCACGAGTCAGGCGCACCAAGTGGAGTTTCTGGGAAGCCAAGAACTGGGTGCTCCATCACGACAACGCTCCCGCGCATTCTGTCATTAGCGTTCAGCAGTTCGTTGCCGAAAAGCAGGTCGCGGTGCTCAAGCACCCTCCTATTTGCCAAACCTCCCTCCCTGTGACTTTTGGCTGTTCCCTGAAATGAAAAACATCGTCAAGGAAACCCATTTTGAATCAGTCGAGGACATCCAGACCGGAGTGACCAGCGTCAGCGTCATCAATAAAACAAAGAGCTGTGGAAAGGAGAATAATAGCGATATCGAGGTGCCGTATGGCACACATCACGACAATAAAGATTAATGTCCAGTGTCTCGCTAGTTTTGGGCCCCCTACTTTATGGTCAGCACGAGCAGTCCGGTTTCTTTTTAGCCACACCTCGTAAGATAAATACACTTATAGCGATAATTTATGGTCTTGAGCTGAACTGCCAGGGAAATAAAAATTGCAGATATTCATGGCTGTAATATGTACAAGAAAACTAGCAGTCACTTGCAGATATATTTTCTGTTGCCAACCCAGAACATATAACAACAAAATATCTGTTACCAAAGAAGAAAAAAGCAAGACTGGTCTCACGCGAGAGGATTATATTGCCTCCATTATTAACAGATCTATGCAAAACTGTTACGATTCCTACATACCTACATTTAATTCATAAGCTATCTCTTCCAACGCAAGGCAACACATTCAGCTTTTACGCAGATAAGAACCGAGTGAATTTAAGAAATTTAAACTAACCGGCAGCGGCGGCCAGAGCCAGCGCCTGACCGACGATCAGCAGTTTGACGGCGCTCTGGAGCTCCATGGCTGGCAAATGATGTCTGCTCTGCCACAGCGCTACGTTTATATACCTGCATGTACTTTTCCTGGTAGTGCGATGTGGGTAAGATGTAAACAAGTAGTTACTGCATGACCCCGGGTGACACTCTGAGAACTCCCAGTGTTGTTGCGTTCCACAGCTGAGTGTGGAAACCCCAATATGCACGGGACGGTATAGCGCCTGAATGTTTAGACGATGATGGGTTAGGTATGTTATGTTTCCGGTAGTCCGTGAGATGTGTTTGTGCATTTGCCTTCTATGAATCATTTTGGGTTTTACGGAATGGTCGCCATCAGCCAGCTCAAGCGTATGTAGTATGTACTTGCAGACACTGATCCATGTCTCAGCTCGAGCATTCTCCGTCTTAGACAAACCGGTCATTGTCATGTTTCCGTCAGTTCCCCGGTTCCTGACCTGATATACGGTAAGGAATATCGAGGACATTGAGTTAGAGCCTGGGCAATTAACAGAATTCAGGTGTTTGCACTGCAATGATCCAAGTGTAACGTGCATGGTTCACAGACTTTTTATTCGATGACAAGATGCGAAGACACCCCTCCCCATGATGCTTGTTTCTCTTGGTCTGACCAGCTGCTAAATGGAGTGAATAACGAACCAATGAAAAGCGATTAGACGCATGCTGCATGACACATGTCAAGATTAAGTTTGGGTGAAAATGTCTACAAATGAGTGATAGAATTTTTTAACAAACATGCACATTGCACGTGCTACATATGTCATATATTTATAGGACAGACTAGTCTACGCGCCGATTAAAGTACCTTACACGTTACATATACACAATCACATGGCTCAGCTCAGCATATTGACTGGAAAATACATGCAAGATCTATGAACATCCAGAAGTTACTTCCGATGTCTGCGCGCCGGGCTGGCCCGTTTTGTGAAGCAGGCTCGTGCACTGTGCGGGCTTTCCATCTGCCGTGACGAAATTGTCGGAATTGAGGGTTAGCCCGCACGGCGCTGGACACGGCTCTGCAATGTGTCTATCAAATATCGATAAACATTGAGAACGTCTTGTGGTCTCTAAACACGTGTTTTCCAGTCGAATGATTGATGTAGGTGCACTGCCTATGAGCAACATCCAGTGGGGATAATCAGACGGCTCATTCGCCCCTGTGCCTTTCTCAGATGCACACGGGATTCTATAAATCTCTCAACCCGCACAATGGGCCACCAATGGGCGCCTCGCGGGTCGAAGCCCGAAGGGCATGCAACGACTCGCATCAACCCGCAAATGTATTTCAGTGTAATGTGTCAAGTCGACCTGTACCCTGACGTTTGAGAGTGTTTAGAATGGCGTTCGTCCAAAAGATACGCCTTTCCATTTTTCTTTCAATTGTCTTATAATGGAGAGGGCGCAAAATTAACTGACCAATATTGAAATTCCAAGATACACAATTTACACATACTGTTACTCTTATCAATCGCTGAAAGTTTGAAGACGATCGCTTAGTCGGTATAGCTATAACGAGCATTCTAACTTTCTGAGATGAGGTCACGTTTGGTGACCCCAAACACACCCGGTCCGCTGCGGGTTAAGATCACCATTGGATGCGTCTTACTGAGGGAGGTAAACAGGTTGCTGGTTGAGTTGATATCAAAACAAGCGCTGATAAGCAATGCATCGTGTAAAAAAGTATTACAAAAACAAACTTCTATTATAGCAGAAGGTCTCTTTTAACGGTGTTTGCCCTTTGGATGCCACACCGTTAGGCCTGAGATACTAAGTGAGGTCACATCTTAGTGAAGAAGTGTCAATAGAGTCCTAACTGGTACCACGTAATTTCTTGATTATTTTTATCTTCCGAACACTGCTATATCCCGTAGCTCTCCCCCTCCCCCGCCTCGTTTTTGTTTGGGATCAGACTTATCTCCGGCATTTCAATCAATACCATGTGCACATATAGTTATTTGTTATAAAAAGCAATTTCATTCGCCCAACATATATGGACAGAGTAACAAAGAAATGCGCGGAATCCCTTCACTTGCATTGTAAGTGAACACACTGAATACGCATTGCCCAGAACGATATCATGTCAAACCCTCATTGACAGTCCCTGGTACAAGTAAAAATTCGAACCTAATGCATGTTGCATAGAGCATACCTACCCACAGCTTTCCGTGATGTCACTTCGTTCATGAATCTAAACACCACTCTGGTGTCCACATGGGCCAGCTGACTCACACCCAGCCCATGTCACGAGGTCTGGGTTTTTCTCCGGCCGGTGTTGTAAACATCAACTGAGTTGCATTGCAGCAGCGGATCGATATATAAGCGTTGTGCTGTAGCAGAGGCGACATCATTTGCCAGCCATGGAGCTCCAGAGCGCAGTCAAACTGCTGATCGTCGGTCAGGCGCTGGCTCTGGCCGCCGCTGCCGGTAAGGAAAACTTCAAACAGCTCTGACTGGGAAAGGACGATGGCTTCTTTCATGGAGTTGACTAAGACAACTTGTGATTTTTGGACGACTTTTCCTAAGTCCTCTTGTCTTTGCCGGTTTTTACATTCCCATGATTTCAAGTGTTGACTGCTAAAAGATACTTATCGTACGATTAAATCTAGTCATGTATGCCTCATGTCTGCTTTCATTTTCAGTGGACAACTCCACGGAGACGGAAGAGCTGGTCTTTAACACCACGACGTACAGCGCCTCAGCCCCGAGTCCGGAGCTGTTCAAAGTTGGCGGCGACCGCATCGACATGGAGGCGGAGGGCTGCTTCAACTTCGGCAGCATGCTGTGCTGCTACAACACGGCTGTGCCGGACAGCCTCAGCGCCGCCCGCGTCTGCCAGCAGTTCTCCGGGGCGAGCTGCTGCTACCTGCTGCCGGGCCGCGACCAGTACCCGCGTCTGCCGGCGGACCTGGTGCCGCTGCTGCCGACTCTGACACAGAGCGGCCAGTGCGAGCAGCGCAGGCGCGGCCGGCGCGTGCTGCACTGCTGCCGCGGCGCCGAGCCCTCCGATCCGAACCCCGACACTCAGGCGACACGCATCTGCACCGACGTGGGCGACATGCGCTGCTGCTATCATCCGTTCGCCGGCATCGACTTCGGCGTGGTGATACGGGGCTCTACAGAGAACGGGGGCTCTGTCCTGGGTGTCAGCGTCAAGAGTGGGGCAGAGGAATAGCAAGCGATATACAGGGCTTTACCTTATGTGATGTTTTTTTCTGGTTACCTCCGAGTGATGAGCATAATAACGACTGAGTTTTTTAGTGTTTCATTAGTGTTCATTTCATGAAGGCTCAACCTTCATGGCATTTCGACAAATAAAATGAATAAATAACGGCTTTTATATACTACATGATAGTCGGTATATATAGTCGGTACATGATAAAAGGCACGCCTACCAAGCGTCCCATTCAAACTGAATTGGACAATAAGTACCTATAATTTTACATCATTTTTATGTTGCTGTGTTTACTTCGATTTTTAAACGTTATGAAGTGTTTTCCTTCTTTCAATAGGTGTGCTAGGAACACTTGTTGGACAGGTGTATAGTTAAAAACATTATTTTTTAATCTCGATTTAATATCTAATGCTCAAAACATCATCCCATGCCGTACGCCGTGCATGGTGCCCGGACTTGCAAAACACTCAAATCCGAAAAAGATTTGTATCCACATACCCTTGCACAGGCTGCATCCAAATAAGCTTTCTCAGCTGTTTTCGCTTGGCACTAAGTTCCACAACAACGAGAGCTCAGAAACCGATGACGGCAAACGGTGGTAGTTGCGCCGTCTCCACAATGAAAGGCTGGTGCTGCGGTCTTTGGACTTCATCGGCGGTATCACCAGTTACTGGCTGGCTCACTTTGTGACCGTGCTGAGGTACCGGGCCACCCTTCCCGCCGCTCGTCGGAGAGCTCGGTGGCATTTGTAACGGCCTACATGACGGAGAGGATGGGATGGTCAATGAGCCGAGAACGAGAGAAAGAACGGCGGTGGCGTATTGGGCACGTTGAGCCGAGCGATGCATGGGCACTAGACAGTGCAGAAGCAGTATGTGAAGGTAGGATGGATTGGATAAGTCGCATCCCGAGAGATAGAAAAGGACAGGAGAGGATAGACTTTAATGCTTTGGGATGCATGATAGGACTGAAGCGGGGAATCGGAATAGGTATCAGTATACGGGGAGTTGTGAGTCTTTCATACCTACTATTGGTGACCTTTTCCGTAAGACACCCACGTCTTTTAATGAGTCATGCTTCTGAGCCCAATGCAAACTGGTTGGAACCGTGTTTGAAGGGAGTGTCTCGGGCATTCCTCACTTCACGGCCTCTCCCCACCCACCACGCTCCTTTCTCAATGTCCGCTACTCGCGTGCACCGCACCTTTTCCAACCGTGCAGCCACCGGAGCCCCGCTGCAGCTTCCGTCCCCTCCGACCGGCGTGTCGCCGTCTCATGGACCAGGCGGCGGCACCTTCAAAGGCGGCCGCCGTCGCCGAGAGGAGCGCGTGGGAACCGTCCCCTCCCCTCCCCTCCCCTCCCCACCGGGCGGCGGGGAGACGGGAGAGGCGGCATACCTGTCGAGGGTATTCACTGGGCTGAGCGAGATACCGTGGTGTTGCCTGTCCGGCCGAGGCGTCGCTCTGTCTGGGTGGCTTTTGGAGAGGAGAGCAGCGAGAGAGAGAGAGGGGGGAGGGAGGGAAGGAGAGGGAGGAAAGAGAGAGAGAGAGAGAGGGGGGAGGAGAAAAGAGAAATCCTCGATCATGTCGTCTCCAGCACTTTGGAAACTGAGAGACACATGCATCAAGCTGTTGATAAATAACTGTAAAAATAAAACCTTGTTAATAAAAACAGGCAATGTCATTTGAGTCATAACTGAGTTGATCTAAGAAAAATCATCTCAGAGAGTTACTAATGACCATTTGCATTCGATCGGACCACGCAGGAGCCCAATCGGTCGACCCGTGCCGTGCGTGTTATCCTGCGGCCTGCCCCCCACAGTCGGCGGTCTGCGCTGATCGGAGCGGCCCCATCCCTCCCCGGGTCGGTACCAAACCTCACTCCATGCACCAAGCTCAACACGCGCTGCCGTTTTTGCCATCGAATTAAAACAATGCCCAGTCAGCAAAAACAACAGCTCGACTAATGGACGATAAATTCCGGCAATATTTGCATTATCGGCCACGGTGGACCGCCGACCGTGCGCGGCTAATTTATAGGCCCGATTGCAACTGGGAAACAATATCGCGGAATCGATAAATAATTGGGTATGGACAGGCGGGCGGGCGGGCGGCCGCTGCCGGGGTCCCCGCTCTGGAGAACAATCACAGCCGTAATCGGCAGCGGAGAACCGTGCAGGCCTGCGGGTCGGGAGTCGATGTATCACTGAGCCCGGAGCCGTGGGAACTGCTACCGGCAGACCTCAGAGACGGGGCCGCTGAACTAGCGGACGTGCCGCGAGAGGGTGGGCTGTGAGCTGTGACCCGTGACCCGAGGCGGCGCAGTAGGACACCAGATGAGGTCAGAGTTGGTGAGCAGGCGAGTGTGTATTCGTAAAATGAAAAAGGTTGCAAGATATAACTGAAATAGGTAACAAACAGCTCAGCCACCAAATTTTCGAAACGTCAAGCTCGGGTGCACATTTTTAAAAAGGTCTGGTTACTTTAATCCATTAATTAATGATTGAAAGCGAGTGAAAATCCAGTTAACCCTCGCCCGTATAGGGGGTGGGGTCGAACGGAGCCTCCTCGGTTTTTCGCGAATAGCTCGCGACGAAACTTTCAGCACCCTCGCGTTAATTAATTTTACACCAACCCTGAAAATTTCATGACCCTGACTCAAATGACCTTTGATCTGTGACCTACTTTTCGAGACCATGTTTGGCCGGAATCGCGATTCGGCGTATGTCGGCTCGCATTAGCCGCGCGTTTGCAGTCTTTTCGTGGTTTCAAACGTTCAAACATGCAATTTGATGTTGCTCCCATGCATTAGGGTGGATGTCAAGGTCACCTGAAGGTCAGGTCAGGTCATTGACCTTTGATGACCTCGGTCCACTTTTTCGAGTTTTACATCATACATGTTTCTAGACCAGTTTTTGGAGCTGAATTCGAATTTAGCAACCATATGAACATTTGCGAAGTAGTTTTGGTGCCTTCGTAACATGTTACGAACCTGTCAGAGGCGGTTGACACATACTACGAATACCCGGCAGGACCCCTACTGGTTGACCTGACCTGGCCTAAATGCATGACGACATCATCTGTGATCAAAACTAACATGATATTCGTGATCAGCACCCCGAAAAAAACCCAATACAAATAGCAGCCACACTTTACGACATTCTAACAGGTCCCGATTTTCCCGACTTTTGGGTCATTGACCTGACCTGGAAGGTCAACCAATGACCTAGGACCTTTAAATTGGGTGGTATCATCGGCTTCCTCTCGTCACGGTCAACACGCTCGTTGTTTTCCGCGAAGGTCTAGCTCGATCAGGGGCGAAACGGCGAGAGGTCCCCCCCCCACACACTTATACGTTCGCGGCTGGAAAAACACCAATCCGGGAGAGAGTTAATTGGGTACGTCAAACAATCAAACTTATAGTTAAGCCGCTCATACAAAGTTTTTACGTTCAAAATGCAACTTCTCACAGGGCCTTCCAAGTAAAGTATGCGCAAACACAAAACGTGAAAAGTAATGCATGGAATGGCAACGTAGCCTTATTTTTCATGGAGAAGGCAATACCTGGGCATAAATGATAGAAAATAAATGGTCGGTGGCGGTGCACGGCGTACCTACGTTTAGGTAGGTATATCGCATCAGAAAATTACCGCCACACATAAATTCCACAGGAAACATGAAAACTGTTACCTTTAACCCGCGCCCTGATGGGGGGGGCCATTTTGGCCCCCCCCCCTGTGGTTTTTCTTAAATAGCGAGAAAACGGCGGCGCGCAGCGCCGCCAAATTTTGGGTACCTTACCGGGCATCAATTTGACACCTTCACACAAAATTTCAAGTCACAGGTCACCTCAGGTCAGGAGTTATTGAGGTCAAACTGAGGTCATGTTCGAGTAAAAATGAGCAAAAAACATGACATCTTGAAACGCTCACCAAATCTACAGTTAACAAGCAATTTTAAAGTTCTTTATGTGGTTCTGTAGACAAAAGACGGCGCTACAAAACTGCTATCTCGGATTTTCGAAATTTTGGGATTTTGACCCCAAAAAATAAAAAAAATGATTTTTTAGAAAAACTCACAAATTTTCCAAAAAATTTTCGAATTTCGAAAAAACCGGAATATATGTGATAGTCCCTGCACTCTTCGATATACATACCAAATTTTAGCTCGATACCTCTTTTTTTGGCCAAGTTATAGCGAAAAAACTGTTAAAAATTGATGACGTCAAATTTTTGAACTCAATTTTTAGCAATTCTAGACCTCGTAGCGCAAAACGGAGACCACCGTTGAACTCCCCGTGACGAGCTGCATCGAATCGATACCCATTTTATGCAAAAATATCAACTTTGAAATTTGACCTAATTTGACCTGACCTTGACCTGACCTTGACCTGAATTTGACCAAAACGTGACCTAAGCTGGCCCTAAAGTCTGTCTGACCCACATAATCGCATTTGTCATGTAAAATGGACCATAAAACATGTATCACATGACACTTTCATATTGTGACCCCCCAGTGACCTGACCTCTGTGACCTGACCTGGTATCAGTGACCTCAAATAGCAAAATATGTGTTTGAAGAACATTTCCCCATCGATGATTTTCAATGAAATGCATTTTACACGATTTTACAACGCATTTCTTGAAATGCCTGTAAACGGTGAAAATTCGACCTTTGACCTGACCTGTGACGTCATCGGTTTGACCGAGGTCAATGAAATTGGGTCACAAGGTAGTTCCCCGTTGGGGCTATCCAACACCGTTTACCGCTTGTCGCTATGTTGCGTGGTTCTCGAGATCTGAGGGGGGGGCCAAAATGGCCCCCCCCCCATCAGACCGCGTTGCTCGGCAGACCCCATCTGGGCGCGGGTTAACCCGGCCGGGCCCGGGGGGTAATCCCAACCATCGCAGCCCGGGGGGGCCGCTTTTCGCCCCCCCCCCCCTGTCTAACTCCGTAAATAAGGGAGCTACGGAAACAAAAGCGGTACCAAACAAAAGGTCCTTACGAGACGATTCTAAAGCACCTAAAATTTTTGACCTCAGGTCAATTCTCAAGGTCAGAGGTCAAGGTCAAAGGCAAAAACCGGCACATGTGTAGTGATCTCAAAGTAAGCCTTCTAGAGGACGGCAGGCTGCATAAAACCGGCAAAATTGGGTGTCAAACGAAAGAAGAGAATTTGAGGATTCCGAAAATGTGCTTAAAATTAAAGGTCAAGGTCAAGGTCACGCTCAAAATTGACCTCAAACTTGGCACTTTTTCGCACATCTTGCGTACTAGCTTCCAAGATGTTTTGAAATGTTTTGAGGCTTATCAGTTCCCTATTTGTGGTTCATCTTACGATACAAGGCTGCTCAAAGGTCAAGGTCACAGAAGAGTATCCCTGCTAGAGGCTATTTCACTGATTCAAGCTAGTAATAATAGATAAGACAATTTTGCCGTCTAGAAGCTCTAAATGAAGGCTTAGAGGAAAATAGCTGCCAGATTCGTGATCAGCGGGTATAAATCCATCATAAATGACCTCTCATGTGTCAAGGTCAACCAGAGGTCATTCGAGGTCAAATGAGGTCAACATAAAACTTACCCTTTTCCGAACAAAATATATAGCATTCGACGCGGCTTGACAAGGCGAATGCGATGGTACCATTGCCGTAGCTCTAGGACCTTTTTTGTCGAAGTTATTTGCGAAAAACTAAAATCACATTTCGGGGTCGTTGACCTGACCTCTGACCTCAGGTCACCAAAACTATTTTTCTATTTTTCTCTAGGTCAAACGCTACACAACCGTGCTCGTAATTTGTCTTTATCTCTAAAACTCTATTTTTAGCAGCTATTTGAAGTTTGCGCCTGTGACGCCGAAGTTTGCCGTGCAGGGGTCTAGAAAAATGGACCTTGTGACGTCATCAATGGGGCTAGGTCCAAATTTTCTACTTCAGAAGATGTCAAATTGATGTGAGAAAAGGTACTGAAAGTTTCGCTTTCCTATCCCTAAGCGTTCGGGAGCTATCGCAAATATTCGCCAGGGAGGGCGAAAAACGCCCCCCCCCCCGGGCCTGCGAGGGTTAAAGTTACTCAGCATAAGTGCTTTATGCCGAATTAGCCTGTCAAAAAGTATGTCGCAGCAAACAGCCGTAAGGACTTCAGATTTCACAGGAATATTGCCGTAAAAGCACTTTAAACTTGCAAGCTTGAAGCTACTTCATTTCCCCATTTCTAAACCTTACTAGTCATCAACTACGAGGCACGATTCAATTTCAAGACGTGGTAGCTGGTTCCTTAGACGAATGAGCAAAACTCTTCAACCCCTCCACCCTCCCTTTATTTCCTGACTGAGCCCTTCCAAGAGCGCCGTGGCATTCTCCCACAACCCCTCCCACAACCCACAGCCACCCACCTGAATAGCATCCAACTTGTCTAACAAGCCCACAGCTACCGCCCTCTAGGCAGTCAATAGTTCATGCTGTGTAGATGTCGCGGCAGCCTCCGCAGCTGACAAGTGCCGATGTATGTACCTATGTTCGTACTTATCCTTGATAACATTTGCAAGTGGTGCAGGCTGCAGTCTCAATTGAAATCATATAGCATTCGTGTATACTGGGAAATTAGATCAATGAAAAAACTGCCTTTAAAGTATGTTTATTATTCTGGATCTCATCCATTGGATATCATTACATCTCAGTCTATGCATCTGCATAGTGAATAAAACGACATCTTAGCTCGACATTAGAGGACACAAAGTTTGACAGCTTCGAAATTCTTCTCTCGTAGAGCATTACGCTCCAGATTAAAATTGAATGACACAATAGAATGTCATACTCGAGTGATGCTATTGAAAAATGTATGTGAACCAGTTAATTTCGACAATTGTAGTCTCTAGCATCGAAGAAACAAGGAAGATATCAAAATTTGTGGCCAGCGAACACTGAAAATAGTGTTATAAGGCCTCCCCGTTAGCTGTCCCCGTACGAGGTCCGAAACGCCCGCACGTCGATCGCGTATTGGTTGTCCGCCATACATTGGTAGATGCCCTTGTCCATTTGTGAGGCGGGGTCGATCTCCAGCTTGGACTTGAGACGGTCACCGGTGAGCTTCCACTCCCAGAGCTGTAATAGAAGACAGAGAGTGAGAGTTTCCACTACCACAGCTGCAGCAGACAGACTCAGTGTGAGTTTCTACTCTCAAAGCTGCAGAATGCAGACAGAGTGAGTATAAACTCCCAGAGCTGTAACAGACATAGAGTGCGAGTTTCAACTATTGAACGGTAACAGTGCGAGTTCTCACTCCCAAGCCCTGACAGGCAACATAAAATGCGTCTAAGTAACATTTATCGACAAATCAGCGCAAATCTTATCTTAACATTATGATAGATCACTTCCATCAGACATGCCCTTGAGTTGACTTTAAAAAAGTAAAATAGTCCCACCGTCTACACTGCTCACCTTGAGGAACTTGTGAGTGGGTATCTCCTGTCCGTCCTTACGCCAGGTGATGGTTGGGCGAGGACTGCCTCTGGCCACGCAGATAAAGGAGATCTTGTGGCCCAGCTCGTATACCGACTCAAAGTGCGACGCCTTCACTATGTGCGCCTTCTGAAAACCAGACGTGGACAAGTCGATTCAGATACCAGCCGGCAACGACAGCATTACGCCACCGGCTTTCAACTCAAGACGGACTTGTAACTGCATAGCACTGCCATTGCACTATATGAGAAACAATGGTCGGCGCATTCTTTCGCATGATACCTGGTTACTGAAACTTACCAAATTACAAAGTCTGCGGATACGGCAAGGACTAAGAAAAGAAGTTTGAAGGTTAGATAAAATTCCACAATTTCTTGTCATCACGCACTCAATAAGGACAACCCTGCACCCACCCCGCTCCCCTTCCGATCGACTCACGTCCTCGTTCTCGTAGTAGTGTTTCGTCTCGGTGTTGCGGTACCGTCCACCGATCGGGTGGTTGTTGTACACGTGGTTACGCAGTCTCCGCTTCAGTTTGAACCAGTACTTGGGCAGGCTGGCGTCGGCGCGGGGCGGCTGCGGCAGCAGGACGGCCGTCACCAGCAGCAGCAACACCAGCTCGCGCCGGAGCCCCATGGCGCCGCCGGACCACCACCGCCTTGTGAGCGCGCCGCGGCGGCGGCTGCGGCCGGAGAGCGAACGTCGCCGGCAGGTCGTTACGGTGATGGCCGACGGGTCGCCATTGGTCCGGCCCGGGCGACGGCAGAGCTGACTTATTAACACATCCGGCCAGAAGGCAGAGGTCGGCAGGCCTGGGTCACCCCGGCCGGGTCCATCCGTCCTCCCGGTGCCAGTGCCCGTCCGGTGCCAGTGCCGCTGGCCTTGACGACATCTGGAGCTGCTGTCGCCAAGGATGCTGGTGCCTGTGAAAGTCTGTACGTCTTGTCAGTCTTCGTTCCAGCTAACACAACTATTTTGTTTTATATATTGACATAGTCATAAAACGAAGCATAAGAGTCCAATCGGCAATCACGTAATATTTGTATAAAACAATCATTTGATGTTATGTCGGGGTAGTACCCCCTGTGCCGACCCGACAGCTTATTTGCTGTTGCGCAGGTGAATGCTCTGAGAGGCATGTTCGAGACGCGCTTACGACTGCCCCTTTTCCGTGCCACTCCTTTCAGACACGCAAAAGGACAATGCTATTTCGTCTTGTTTGCTTCGTTGTCAGAAGCGTTCATCTTGATCAGCTTCATCAGCTAAATGCGTACTCACTCGTTGAGAGGAGTTATTCGCGTGACAGTAACACATTTCCCGATGTCGGCTCCTTTCTCACATTGTCTGTTCCGGTAAAAGATCTTGTGAAAGCGTTTAGGCTGCGCAAGACGCTTTAACATGGTCTGATGACTCAGTTTGGACAATGAGCATCAGCATGGCCTAATGTAAGGACAGGGCAAACGCACTTTCTTTTATCATGAAGGCTTGTATAGAAAATAAACAGATTATCAAAGGCCACTGCATGTCACTGCTGGTATATTATCGATCATTCAATGCCTCACACCAAGCCAAATTCATGACAAATACACAAAACAGTTTGCCACTTTTTAAGCAATCATTCAATTCATACTGAATATCTATCGGGACAGCAATCATCGATGCGTAATCTATATAATATCTCCTTAAACAGAGCTGTATTTCGCATCGAAGTTTATTCGAGCCGCGATGCTGCGATCCCATACTATTGTCTACGCTGGAACCTCTAGCGGTGCCCTTGATCTTTCTCGGTCGATCCTCCCATTGCCAAACCGCACACACCAAGTGACTGACGGCCCGGTAAGCCTCCTTTCCGTCCCCAAGGACTTCCGCAACCCAAATGTACTCCAATTGGCGATCAATGCCAAGGTCTTGACGTCCTGACCCATTTCTATGCCAGAGGAACAGCCATGAGCCAGCTTACATCCCCACTCTGGTACGGCTGGGAAGACCACGCAAGTCTCGGGGACACGCCGCAGTATTCTCCCGAACCACTGACGTATGCTACTCCATCTGGATGATGAAGTCTGTTCGGAAGCCGCGCCGGTCGACGGCGTACTTGTTGTCGGCCTCGCACTCGTAGAAGCCGGCGTCCTTCTGCTTGGCAGGGGTGATCTCCATCCGGGAGACGGTCACGTTGCTTCCCACCTTGTACTCGGTGATCTGACGGGAGAAAGGTGTGTGTCACCCACCAGCGTGATGCAGCGACAGCGGACATATGTAAAAGTTTTGAGCCGCGTAGTATTCATTCAGTATTCAAAATCGTGAATGCAAAGTTAAGACATATTACGGGAATAATACCGTGGCAATGTGGAATTTATCTTCTCATTGGTAATAAAACTCTGCTCTGCCCTGAGGTTTAAAACTGCACTCTGAGGTTAATAGATGTGCTGGTTATTCGTCCAGCTGCTGGCAAGGATCAAAGCAAATCGCATTCGGAAATAAAACTACATAACGTTCGCATGCAAGCTTAGCTGTCTCTTAGTTTGGAGCAACGGATACCAAGCCACAAAAACTACACGCAATTTTGTTGCGCGACAGAAATGCCGCTTAATAATACGCGGGTGGGATCCAATTCTTAGGGTTAAAGAGTCCCTAAAACGTATCAGAGAGCACGTCAGCTAGCTTAACGATAACACTGAGATGTTAAGCAAGAAATCGGTATCCACAGCGCATTTCAAAACAACACCAAAGCAGACACACAATACGTAAAAAGGTGCATTGGCACATGGCGTGTATTCGGCGTTCGGCTGATCTGTTTCAGGCAAGCTTTTCGATAATCCTTGAATCTGGCATCCCTCTCGTGAGTGCACCCTTCAATGAGACTCTGATCCTCTCTGAGACCTGTATCAATCAATGTGACCCTGACGGCCCCAGCCATGGCGGCCCCAGCCAACGATGCAGCGCTGACCTTACGTTTTCCACCCTCCATCGCGACCTTGACCTATTACGACTCCACCCTCCCGGGCGCGACCCTGACCTGGAAGAAGCTGTGCGCGTACACCTCGATGCCGTTCTTGTACCAGGAGATGTGTGGCCTCGGCTTCCCTGTAGCGGTGCACATGAAGACGATCTTGCTTCCCAGGATGTACTCCGACTCGAAGTGAGACCACTTGCTGATCTGGGCGCCCTGGGGAACGGCGGCACAGTCAACGAAACTGATATGAAGGGCGACGAAAGGCTGCAGAAAGCCATGAAACTATAATGGCAGAAAATTGTGAAAGTCAAAAAGCGTTGACGAAGTTATTTGATGCAGTGAAGCCAAGGTGACTTTCTTATTGAAAGCCACAAACGTCACTTACCTACTTTTCCAAAAGATCCAAAACACCAGCATTACAGCAAACGATAGCGCTGCATATCATTCAATGAACAATTCAAAATTTAAATCAAGAAAGAACACGGTGAGGACTAAGCCTGATTAACGAACAAAAGATTAACGACCAATTATTTACAATCAGCAAAAAGGCATGACAGTAGTATCAAATCCTCACCTCTCCCTCTCTTCGGCATACAACCCACAGGTCAACGTCCCCCCACAAACAGTTCTCGCCGGGCCCACGAAACACTCACGTTCGGGTTCATGTAGTAGGTCTTGGCGGAGGGGTTCCGGTACATGCCGTCGATGGGCACGTTTCCGAAGCGGTTCCTCCTGCTGCCTCCCCGGCGGCGTCCTCCTCTTCTCGCCTCGGTCGGCTCACAGACGAGCAGGAGCAGCAGGGCGACCAGCAGCAGCGGCAGCAGCGGACGGCGGCGAGGGGCGCTCATGGTACGGCCGGCGGCGGACGGGCGGGCGGGAGAGGACAGACTGGGCTCGAGCCGCACACCGCGCCCGCAGCGGCCGCCGGCGCGCGCTCCGTGCGGCCGGCGCGCGCAATTGTCGGCAATGAGGTGCTTCCCGATTAGCCGGAACAGTGTGCGACACAGGACAGGGGGGGGGGGGGGGTAGCGATGGGCGACGCACCGTCCAAACAGGCCGAGACAGAGCGGAGGGAATGAGGAAACACGGTGTATAGAATCGAGTAAAACACAAAATATGTATGGAATGAACTATATTGCGCACAATGCGGTTATAATGATGATGAATGATATGCATAATGTCAAGACAAATAAATCACTGCGGAACAGCCCAGTACACCTCAAACCGACCAGTAGTTACACACAGCTCCCGGTGTGCATTTGAGGAGCACTGGAAACACGCCGCGCGGCGCCACTGGAAACTTACCAGGTGCCGCGTCATCACAAACACTCGACGTTACGCGGGCCGACGACGGCCCCGGGCGGCGGTCTGAGCCTCTCGTGAATCGTAACTCACGACACTCAAAAACGGCGAGGGGCGCGCAGCGCCAGACTAGGCACTCCACCTTACCCGGTTTAGCACTAGAACAGCACGGCTGCTGACTCGAACGAGCACGAATTCTGACTCAGAACGGCGCGGTTTGACTCGAAGGACACGGTTTCTAACTCTATCCAGCATGACTGTCTGAACTCGTCCCGGAGACAGCCCACCCCCACTGGCCACTGTTTTCTTCCCATGGAATTAAATAATCTCCAGTTTCAAACTCCTTCTAGACACAGCGACTACTTTCTGCCTTTGAGCTTAATCTGTCCACCCACACCAGCTTATCTTCAGTATGACTTATAGAGTCGCTCGCCTATGAAAGACGTCGGCAGATGGCTCCTGGAGTCACCCGGGACGACCCAGCACAGCCCTGAGCGCGACGAATGAGGCCTCGAGACAGCCACGACAGCCGCTGGGAATGGAACAATCCGAGACTGGCACCGCACAGCACAGCAATACAACCCCACCGGCCGGGCACTGGGTGAGCTGAACTCTCAACTTTACATAACTGGCGTAAGGCTGCGTCAACTCCATCCCAAGCCGGCCAAGGCAACGTAGGAGTCAAACGCTACCACCCGCCAAACACTTCCCATACAAACGCAAACCGTGAATGTCTGTCATGCCAACTTCCACCCAGCCCTTCCCCGCGACTTTGGCAGCTTACCGCACCTGTTGGCGACGTCTGCCAGTCTCTCTGACCATTATCACAGCATGCATGCATCAGCGGCGGTTCCCCTCGGTGTTCCTTCGCGTCACACGGGGTAGACCAGGTTTCCGCGCACCAGTGAGTCGAGCAGCTGGCCCCAGCGGAGCGGCGCCAGGCCCGGGTCGGCCGGACACCAGAACCACCGCAGGGTATCGCCCAGCGGCGCAGTGGTCAGCTCCACCCGGGTGACCAGACTGCGCCGGTCCTGGCGCAGAACGGTCACCAGAAGACTGCCTAAAGGTGGAGAGCGGGACCATGGTCAGTGGGGAGGGTAATGACCAGAGGACAGCTGGGCGAGTGGCATCGCATGGGCTACTTCATTATCTGCGGGACTGTGAGACGGCGTGAGGTCATGCTAAAATGGCGTCCAAAGGCATCAGAGCGAGATGCTTCTATAACTCCCCCATGTGACAACATTCACATGGAACTGGCCCCCTCATATTATCAAACTACCACAAATATCAAAACATTTCTCCACTCCGACACTCTCATAACCAATGAAGAAGCAATCTACATAAACACTGACACACTCATACAGCCTCATTTCACCCTTCACCCCTATCCCTCTCGAGCACCAGCACCACCTGTCCCCTCCACTTCTCCGCACCACTCACCGGCCACGCAGTTGGCGCGCGCCAGCCAGCTGACCACCACCAGCAGCGGGTTGACGTTGATGACGTAGATGAGCAGGGTCAGGAGACCCACGGCCGCCAGCACCGTCAGACGCAGCTGCGGCGGCGCAGCGCGGGGGAGGGAGGTTAATGAGGGAGGGTCACAAACATACAGCACAGAGATTACACGTGCCCACCCAGGCAGCATGAATTGGTTGACAGATTGGCAGCGATGACACACGTCAGACCAAATCAAAATGATGACAGCAATCCTAATTCCTATGTGGCGCTGCATGGAAAAACAAACCAAGGAAAACCAGCGGAAAGAACCCGTAGGGATAGAAGACTCGCATAACGAAAGCGTCCGGCATGTAACGTCGTGAACAGTTGACAGTATTAAGTCGATGGGGTGAACATCAAAACGTAAGAGGCAGAGGTCTCATCCACCCACCCAGCCAGTCACCGACTCGTGTTCCCAGTCCTGCCAGCCGCCCCCCCCCCCCAGACTCACCACGACAAACACGGCATAGTAGAGCAGCACTGTGGGGAACAGGAACAGCAGAATGGTGAAGCAGAGCGTACCCAGGAACAGCTGCTCCAGCGTGTAGGGCCACGTCTCGACGCGCTGCTTCTCGGGGTTCCAGCGGCGGCCGCGGAACAGCCGCCACAGTCGCACCAGCCACCGCACCTCCAGCTGGTACAGCCTGAGAAACGGAAACGGTCAGTCGGCTATTCAGTCATACAGGTCAGGATATATTAAACACATGTATTTCTTAGGGTATTAGTGTCTGGCAGCCGCGTTCAATAAAATGTTGCGTCGATACATTCGTTTTATTCGATCTGAACACAGCCGAAGCAAGGAAATAAACATTCGTTTTTTAACGCCTCATCTGAGATGAAAAACACATCTAATTTGGCTTCGAACTCTTGGCTATCCTAAAAGTCTAACGTACAATCAATTTTTGTTATTTTTCCCAAATGCATGCATCGCATAGGTAAAACTCACTTTGTTGCATAGACATAGACACAGTACACGTGGAACGTGGCCAGCGAAAGCAGATCCGACAGCAGGCTGAACAGAAACGACGCTCCCAGGTAGCTGAAACAGACCATGTTATTGTCACACGTCGGTCAGCGGTGGCCGCACCGCGGTGAAATCGATACCGAACCGGCGTGTCCGTCACCCGCTCGGCACGCACGCTCGTGGCACGACAGGTGTCACACAGGTGGGACGGTGACGGGTAGCCTCAGCTGCGGTCAACGGGGAGGGGGGGGGGGGGGGAGCTCGGACAAAGACCGAGCGGGGCTAGGACGGGGAGGAGAATGGATGCTATGCTAGTGAGGAAACATGCCTATGTGGAAGAGTGTGAAATTCACGCAATAATCGGACGTGAAGAAACTATCGGAGAAGGGAAAAAGAACGCGACTGACAAATGATGAATGACTCTAACGCTATTAAAGTACGATATCTCTATTCAGGTAGACAACAGAATAGATTCAAATTTTTGAGCAACAAAGTTTCATTAAGTATTTCTCACTGCACAACACACAGTTAATATCTTGATTTTTCAATTTACTATTGATCGTTGTTCGTAGAGATGTCCTCAATCGCCCCATAAATATGTATTATATTACGAGCCAACGCTTAACGTTCTACACGAGCCATTGATGATATCCTAAGAGCTCACTGCTCAATGCCCATTGCCTACGCTTACCTAAACGGAGCTAGTCTTGCCCCTTCCCATCAAACCCACAGACACCGTCACCCTGCCCCGCCTCACCCCATCGGTAGAAGCAGCTGGATGGCTGTGATCATGGTGGGCGTCACCAGGGTGATGAAGGCGCCCCACAGCTGCACGTGGTACAAGAAGAAGCTGCCCAGAGCCGTGGTGAGCGGCGTGTTCAGCTTCAGGCCGGCCGGCGCGCCCATCATCCACTGCAGCAGCGACTGCAGCTGCAACATCACGCCCTGGACAGGCAGGGAGAGGGTGGGGTGCTCAGCTGGAACATCACGCCCTGGACAGGCAGGGAGAGGTGGGGTGTTCAGCTGGAACATCACGCCCTGGACAGGCAGGGAGAGGTGGGGTGCTCAGCTGGAACATCACGCCCTGGACAGGCAGGGAGAGGGTGGGGTGCTCAGCTGGAACATCACGCCCTGGACAGGCAGGGAGAGGGTGGGGTGCTCAGCTGGAACATCACGCCCTGGACAGGCAGGGAGAGGGTGGGGTGCTCAGCTGGAACATCACGCCCTGGACAGTGGACAGGCAGGGAGAGGGTGGGGTGCTCAGCTGAAACATCACGCCCTGGACAGACAGGACAGGGGAGCGGGGTGTTCAGCTGAAACATCACGGCCTAGACAAACCGACATATAGAGGGTGAGGTGTTCAAATGCTATGCTGGCATCCAGAGGCAAGCGGGGGACTAACGAGTGCAAAACTATTGTCGCAAAAACGCTATACGGTGGAGGAACACAACGTGGGAGTTGTTGATAAGCGTTTAGGAAGGCCTTTAAATTAAATATTCATTTGCTTTAAATTAAGAATAAAGTTAAAATTGAAAAATGATATATAGCCCGACGTTTCGCATTTATTGCTTATTCATGGGCAACCTACAATAAATGCGAAACGTCGGGCTATATATCACTTTTCAATTTTAACTTTATTCTTAATTTAAAGCAAATGAATATTTAATTTAAAGGCCTTCCTAAACGCTTATCAACAATTGTCAATCTATATATACACAACGTGGGAGATTGATAATTTCAGTCAGGTAAGGTTCAGGTGCAGGGATCGATACTGAATGACACTTTCAGAGCAATCAACAGACATCACAGTACCAAAAATGTAGCGACGAGGCGCTTTAACATCAAAACGTTTATAGACTGCAAAAACAACGGCGCCCCTCCCTTTTATGATCCCGTAGATACCTCTCAGCATCCGTCCCCGACCGACTCACCGTGGAGAGCTCGGTGACCGTCTTCAGGAGCGCGGCCGAGTCGAGCCGACGCTGCACCAGCCGTGTAAGGATAACACCCAGCGCCACATCACACACCAGCGCGCACACGCAGCCGAGCCAGACCACCGAGCGGCCGCGGTGCATGGCCAGCCGCGCCACCTGGCTCAGCCGGAGCAGACACTGCGCCAGCAGGCTGCTGCAGCGCGCCGGCGCCGAGAGCAGCGAGCGGCTGGCGCTGCGCACGTCCACCCGCAGCCAGACCAGCAGCCGGTGCAGCTGCGAGACGCGGCAGAGCAGCGCCAGCTCCAGCAGCGCCCACTGCAGCCAGCCGATGCGCAGCGCCGCCGCGCCGGCCGCCGCCGCCGGCCACGGCGGGCCGACGAACGCCAGCGAGCACAGCTCCAGCACCAGCCACTGCAGCCAGCCGATACCGAGACCGAGCGGCATGCGCGCGCGCGCCGCCGGCGCCGGCTCGGCGGCCAGCACGGCGCGCACCATCAGCTGCAGAGGGTCCCACGAGCCGTCCGGCGCCGGCGGGGCCCGACGACCGTTCGCGACACCGTCGGCAGACGCGTGGTTCGTCTGAGCATTACCAGCAGCCGCGTCACACGCAGCTCCCACTCCGGCCAGACTTCCTCGGAGCATGTCGGCGCCGCGCACCGCCGCCGGACTGTAGAGCGCCAGCGTCACCGACTCGGCCGGCACCGGCTGGCCGTCGATGACACAGCGCAGCACGCGGGGCACGCGTCCGTTCGTGATCACCACATAGTTGTGCAGGTAGGCGAACACGGCGCCGGAGAAGTCTCGGCTGTCCGCCGGGCTAATGAGGTAGCCGAGACTGCGCGCCTCCGGCAGCCGATACTGGAGGCCCGTGACGACCAAGGCGGCGCGACGAGGGTCGCGAGGGTCGCGTTCAAACAGGCCTGTCAGCGAGCCCTGCTGCTGCCTTGTCAGCTCCTCCGGCAGCAGGACGGTGATCATGGCCACCTGCTGGGGAAGAGTGGGGCAGAGGAGTGAGAAGGGAGAGGGAGAGGGAGAGGGAGAGGGAGAGGGAGAGGGAGAGGGAGAGGGAGAGGGAGAGGGAGAGGGAGAGGGAGAGGGAGAGGGAGAGGGAGAGGGAGAGGGAGAGGGAGAGGGAGAGGGAGAGGGAGAGGGAGAGGGAGAGGGAGAGGGAGAGGGAGAGGGAGAGGGAGAGGGAGAGGGAGAGGGAGAGGGAGAGGGAGAGGGAGAGGGGAGAGGGAGAGGGAGAGGGAGAGGGAGAGGGAGAGGGAGAGGGAGAGGGAGAGAGGAGAGAGAGAGAGAGAGAGAGAGAGAGAGAGAGAGAGAGAGAGAGAGAGAGAGAGAGAGAGAGAGAGAGAGAGAGAGAGAGAGAGAGAGAGAGAGAGAGAGAGAGAGAGAGAGAGAGAGAGAGAGAGAGAGAGATTCTCCCAATGCAAACTGTTATTGCTTGGTCAGATGGTAGAGTGCATATGTCTCTACAGGTTGTCCTTGTTGTTTCCTGCAGGTTTTGGCATAAGTAGAGCAGGTGTCAAACGAAAGTTTTCCATCCGAGGAGAGGCGCTGTAGGTTTGTGTTGGAAGTCTTTAGCTCCTCTCCTTACCTGAAGTCCACCTCAGTCCTCACTGGCATGAAACAAAATGGTCTGATTTCACTGCTCGGCCAGAAATCAGATTATTTAATTCTTCCCACGCATCAGCAATATAAATGGCTAATATTTCGCCAAAAGAACGTACAAAACATTTAAATCACCCAAATTTAATTCATCCCAACGTTCATTCCTATTCAGTGCTGTTGTTGTTGTTGTTGTTGTTGTGGGTTAGGGCGCGTAGCAGCTTGGCTCTTGCGTCCAACTTCTTTTGATGGCAGTCTTTCTTCTTCTTTTCTTCTTAATGAGTAAAGGGAACTAAGCAGGGTGACTAAGCAGGGTTACGGATTTAGGATAGGTATAGCCGTGGTGTGGACTTGCTTTGGGAGGATGTAGACATGAAGGTCTCTGCCGGAGGCAGAAACGGTTAGTTTTCGGCCGTAGTTGTGGCATCCTGGTTACACTACTAGGGTTTCAGCTAGGCTACATAGACCAAAGAGGTGGTCTGGATACGGTAGATTCTAGAACAACTACTTGGGAGTGAAAACTGACTATTGTCTAACTAAACTACAGACACAATCAATACAGAGCATCGATAACACGCACTCTAATTAGTTCACCAATAAGTCACAGCAGTGTTGGACATCACAAAATCACAGTGCTTATCACATCGTCTCACAATCTCTGAGCAACACCGCATTCAGTAAGATATGCAAACACAGCATCAGTGATCAAGGGAAATTCATTTCCCAGTAGAGATCCTACATTCATCTGGACATTGGATATGAGACATTCTATTTCCAGGTTCCGTCTTTCGGCACAGAATTTCCGACAATGCAGCAAGATGTGCGGAACGTCAAGTGCACATCGGCAACGGTCACATATCGGTGGAGGTTCGCGATCAAGAATGTGTCTGTGAGTAAGAAGAGTGTGGCCTAATCGCATCCTCGTCAGTATGATTTCTTCTCTACGATTACTGCGAGAACTCGACATCCATTGGCCGACATTTGGCTTAACCTCTTTAAGGAGCGTCGGGCGGTAATCGTGCCATATCTCAGCGAACTTATCTTTGGTACTCTTGCGTACCATGGGCAGAAACTCTCTGTACCCTGCATTAACATGTGTGACATTCGGTTTCTGGTGAGACATTCTGGCCCAATGATCGGCTCTTACATTGCCTGCTACACCACTGTGTCCTGGTATCCACAGAAAGATACATTGGCGTCGATCACGTGAGAGCTGGTAAAGAATCTCAGAAATCTCTATGACAATGCAATGTTCTCGATTGTGAGACGCTATAGCACGTATCGCGGATTGCGAGTCCGAGCAGATCATTGCTTTGTCAACCCGATGATCCGAAATGTAACGAAGCGCTTCGCGTATGGCCACCAACTCCGCAGTAAACACAGACATCCATGGCTCCAGTTTGTGGGAAAAGAAAGCATTATTCACTGTAAAAGCGCAACCAGTCGATCCATCAATCTTAGAACCGTCAGTGTAGAATCTCCGGAAACCTGGATATTGTGCAAGCACATCTTGGAACGCTAAATGTATGTCCGTTTCTGTCATGTGTCTCGTGCCATTGAGTAACATCATCGTGGTAACGTCAGGTAAGAGCCAGGGGGGTATTAGTCCACGTGGGTTCACCGTGTTTCGTGGTAATCGGAGACCAAGTACCCTGCACATGGTGGACAACCTATGTGAAAAAGGAAATCCAGAGATCCTTCTCATATAATGTTCCGATAATCCTTCATACACGTGTTGGTTGCTCTCCATATCAACCACTTTGCGACATGGATGTCGAATGTCTCCCTGTACCTTGAGATAATATCTTAGGGATAGGTCTTGCCTCCTGAGGCTAAGAGGAACCACGTTGGTTTCAACCTGCAATGATCGTACAGGGCTGGTTCGCAGTGCTCCAGTCGCAATACGTAGTGCTGTGTTCTGTACGTACTCAAGTGAATCAATAATGCGACTGCCCGGCCCATCTAGTAGCACTGCAGCATAATCGAGAATAGGACGAATTAGAGCTTTATACATTCGAAGGAGAATCACTCGATCAGCGCCAAAGGATTTGCCTGATACACATTTGAGAAGAGCGATTCGTTTCTGTGCCCTCGCTTTCGTATACTCTACATGCGCTCTAAGGTTTAGTTTGCTGTCTAGCAAAACTCCCAGGTATCTAACCTGTTCAGCAAAAGGAATGGTTGCATTGTTGATCACAAGGGTGGGGTAAGACCCCAGGTCAACATGTCTTAATCCACGTCTGAACATGACCGCTGTGGATTTTTCTGCTGAGAATGAAAATCCATTGTTAAGCGCCCATTCACCAACTTTGTGCAGAGCCTGTTGACATGTGTGAAACAGTTCAGGTAGGCGTCTACCCTGTGTCCAAATCGTGCAATCATCAGCATAGATGGCATAGGAGACACCGCGAGGGATATCATTAAACATCGAGTTAATAGCAATGTTAAAAAGCATTGGCGATAACACCCCACCCTGCACAAGTCCGTATTCTTGAGAGAATGTGTCCGATAGCACACCACATCGAACCTGAAACGTTCGTCGACTTAGGTACGATTGGACAAAGCACATCAAGTGTCCTCGAAAACCCATATCAAAAAGACGATGCATGAGCATAGTAGGAGACACCATGTTGTATGCCGATTTTAAATCGAGAAAAATTCCAATTGTAGTGCTATGATGGAGGAATCCATCTCGAATCTGGGACTCCAGTCGTAGCAAGTGGTCCATTGTGCTCCTGTTCTCCCGAAAGGCACACTGGAACCTAGATAGCAGGCAAAACCTCTCTAGATACCAGCTCAGTCTCTTCCCGATCATTCTTTCCATCAGTTTGCACAAAACAGAAGTTAACTGAATAGGTCGATATGATTTGACTTTGTTACAGTCCTTGCCCGGCTTCAATATAGGAACAACATACGAATGTTTCCATGTTTGTGGGAAAACATTATTTAGCCACAAAAAGTTGAAAAGTGCCAACAGTTCTCGCAATTGCCCTTCATCCATGTGCTTGAAAAATTCATAGTGCACTTTATCCGGCCCAACTGAAGTAGAACCTGATCTAGATATTGCATTAGTCAGTTCACGGAACGAAAACTCTTTATTATAGTCTTCTGTGTTCTCACTCCCAAAGTCCGGCATGGAATCAACAAGTGTCCGTTCTCGTTGTAAAAATACATCAGAGTACATAGAACGTCCACTCAGACCAGCAAAGAAACGTCCAAACGTGTTAGCCACCTCAAGAGGATCATCGATTGTTGCATCATTTTCAAACAGTACCGGGTATTGTCGGGATATGCGACCTTTGTAGTTAAATTTCCGAAGCGTCTCCCATAGCTTATTCATTGGTGTTCGGTGGTTAAACATCGATATGAGCTCCCTCCATGAAGTTACCTTTGCCTCACGGATTGTGCGATGAGCCTTTGCTTTGGCTCGACGATATTCAATTCGCAGAAACTCAGAGTGTGGGTCTCTCCTCATTCGATTCTGAGCACGCCTTCTCTCCCTAATGGCATTTCGGCATTGGTCATTCCACCATGGACATTTGTATCTAGTGTTACAGTTTCGGGTGGGAATAAATTGGGTGGCCGTTTCCAGCATCGCTGCCACCATGTTGTCACAATTCTCAACACCATTTCTGCTATCAAACTTAAAAGAAAAGTGCCTCTGAAACTCAGTCCAATCTGCTCGCTTAATATTCCAACCTGAAAATAAAGGTGGAACATTTGGTGGTGGTGTTCCTGTATCAGAACCCATTCTAATGTGTATGGGGAAATGGTCACTTGAATGGAGGTCCTTGTCAGTATTCCATTCCATCAGGGGAGCAATGTCGCTTGTTGTGACAGTTAAGTCAATAAATGACTCGTGGCCTGTAAAATCGTCAATTCTAGTTGGTTGACCATCGTTCAACACGCACAAGGTATTCAAGTTAATCACATCCATCCAGATATTGCCTCGAGTGTCATTTATTTGGCTACCCCACATCATATGTTTGCTGTTGGCATCCGTGCAAATGACAAAGGGCTTAGGAAGCTCTTTGATCAACTGGTCCATCTCAGTAAAAGAGAAGGTCTCATTCGGTGGAAGATACAATGAACAGATCGCAATTCGTCTGTTTTGGACCCTTATCGAACATACCACTGCCTGTAATGTAGTGTGTACCTGTACCTGGAAGTGTGACAAGTTGTTAGACACATATATAGACACTCCTCCACCCCGTCCTCCTTGACGTGAGTATTCATGATACGCAGAAAATCCAGGTAATCGGAAAGTATACCTGTCATTCATCATGAAATGAGTCTCTTGAATACATATGAGGCTGAAGTTACCATGCATGAACATGGGTTTTGCCTCGGCCCATTTGCCAATGAGCCCTCGTGCATTCCATTGTAGGATGCTAAGACCCATTGAAAAAACTAAAGGTGTAACTTATCATCAAATAAATACATACCACTTCAAACCAAAGCTTCCACAATGGGAACATATATGCATTGTGCACACTATCTGTGTGATGTATGCAACATTCAGTGCAATGTGCACTGTCAACCAAGACACAATTCAACACTAAAAACTTGTTGATGCTCTGCACTATATACAGCCTTTCTACTGCCTGGCCTTCTACTAAGTGGGTGGGGTGCCCATCCTAGTGAGACTGGGCATTCGTTTCTTCGTCCTCTGTTCAGTGAGGGGTTCCTGTTTTCCTCTAGTCTCTTCTTGAGACGATGGATGCATTTGGGATGTTGGATGTTTGCCTTTTCCTCCACCTCTATTCCTATCTCTACTATGACGGTCCACTTTGGTCCAGTGTACTCCCTTTTTGCCAATCTCTTGGCTTTCCCCATCCTCCATGTCATCAGAGGTGTCAGTCTCTACATCGACCTGGGCATTTTGACAACTCCCATTTCCACTACCTGGAGTAGGATTGTCCTCAGCCATGCTGTCTCCCACCTCACGTGGTAGTTGTGCAGGGGTTGGGACACAGTCTCTCAGTTCAGGTTCTCGGTTTGGGATCTGGAGTGTCTCATCAGAGGTGTTAACCCCTGCCTGACTCACCAGTTTGTTGAGAAGGGACAGCATCTTATCCACCTTTGTTTCCAGTACATCAACCCGCTCCCTCAGAGAAGTATCCAGGTGGTTCTGTTGCTGTGTGGTCGGTGATGTCTGAAGTATAGTGGAATATGCCGGTGTTGTGGGTCTTTGGTGCTTTTTCTCATACTCCCTCCGAGCATGAGCGTATGAAATATCCTGTGTTACTTTGATTTCACACACCTCCTTTTCCTTTCTCCAGACTGGGCAGTCGTGGGAGTAACAAGGATGTCTGTCATCAGAAGTACAGTTAATGCATTTGGGGGAGCAGTCCCCTTCATGTTTCTCACCCCCACACTTCAGACATAAGGCAACACTTTTGCACTTGGCCTGAACATGACCATATTTGCCACACTGATTGCAGAGCAGAGGGTTAGGAATGTACCTCCGCACCTCATAGGACACATAATCAAAATGTAGTTGTGTTGGGCACGTTGGCTTGTCAAATGTCAAGATGAGCAGAGGGGTGTTTTCCCTGTGAGTTCCCACCCTCCTTGTCACCCGTTTCGCTCCAACCACTCCAAACTCCTGGAGCCATCCCACTACCTCCTGTTCAGTAAGTTCAGTCAGGTCAAAGGCATAGATAGTGCCTTTGCTCGTGTTAAGTTTCTCTGCTTTCTGAACACTGCACTCCTCACTTCCGAACATTGTCGCTTTCAGCAGTCTGTCAGATTGCCTTTCATTTTTTGTTTTCAGCAACAGACTCCCATCATTCTGAAATGTCGCCTTTGATACTCGGTCTTGTCCTCCTAAGATGCCCCTAATGCAAGTCTGAACCCAAGGCCAGCCTTTACCCTTGATCGGACTCCCTGACTTCAGGGTGACACTCAGGTATAACCCCGAGTCCTCATCACCCCAAAAGGTCTCTCTCATGTTATCTACTCTAGACCTCTTTGTAGCTCTGGGTGTCCCCATCATTTACACACCAGCCTACACTTCCGCAATGGATCCCAATCACTCATTGAGGCGATTGTGACTCACCACGTGGCCGAGCTTCCACCCGACAATTAATCAAAACGAAATGGAAGAAAAAGAAAAATGGATGCTTCTCCAAAAGAATTGAATAAACAAAAACAAATTGGACTTAAAAAGTCCTCTTCCTTCTTCCCGGCCTCGCCGATCACAATCAAGAGCTTTCCGATCACACGTCCTTCCGCTCCCGTAACTGCGAACGCTATTCAGTGCTATTACTACTGCTGTCAATTTAGCAGCACTTTGATTATCCAACTACAGTTTGATATTCAGGGTGCGTCGATTTCGCCCAAACTTGGCCCAGGGACCAAGTCTGACACGCTGAGCACGAATCTGGTGTCAGAAATCCGCTATTCTCAACCGATCACCCAAATTTACCGTTTTTGAGTTCGTCCATTTACAGATTGACAAACTCCAGGGGCCATCGATTTGGCCCACAAATGGGTCTAGGGGACCAAGTCTGACACGCTGAGCACGAATCTGGTGTCAGAAATCCGCTATTCTCAACCGATCACCCAAATTTACCGTTTTTGAGTTCGTCCATCTACAGATTGACAAACTCCAGGGGCCATCGATTTCGCCCAAAAATGGGTCTAGGGGACCAAGTGTGACACGCTGAGCACGAATCTGGTGTCAGAAACCCGCTATTCTTAACCGATCACCCAAATTTACCGTTTTTGAGTTCGTCCATCTACAGATTGACAAACTCCAGGGGCCATCGATTTGCCCCAAAAATGGGTCTAGGGGACCAAGTCTGACACGCTGAGCACGAATCTGGTGTCAGAAATCCGCTATTCTCAACCGATCACCCAAATTTACCGTTTTTGAGTTCGTCCATCTACAGATTGACAAACTCCAGGGGCCATCGATTTGGCCCAAAAATGGGTCTAGGGGACCAAGTGTGACACGCTGAGCACGAATCTGGTGTCAGAAATCCGCTATTCTCAACTGATCACCCAAATTTACCGTTTTTGAGTTCGTCCATTTGAGATTGACAAACTCCAGGGGCCATCGATTTCGCCCAAAAATGGGTCTAGGGGACCAAGTCTGACACGCTGAGCTCGAATCTGGTGTCAGAAATCCGCTATTCTCGACCGATCACCCAAATTTACCGTTTTTGAGTTCGTCCATCTACAGATTGACAAACTCCAGGGGCCATCGATTTGCCCCAAAAATGGGTCTAGGGGACCAAGTCTGACACGCTGAGCACGAATCTGGTGTCAGAAATCCGCTATTCTCAACCGATCACCCAAATTTACCGTTTTTGAGTTCGTCCATCTGCAGATTGACAAACTCCAGGGGCCATCGATTTGGCCCAAAAATGGGTCTAGGGGACCAAGTGTGACACGCTGAGCACGAATCTGGTGTCAGAAATCCGCTATTCTCAACTGATCACCCAAATTTACCGTTTTTGAGTTCGTCCATTTGAGATTGACAAACTCCAGGGGCCATCGATTTGGCCCAAAAATGGGTCTACTGGACCAAGTCTGACACGCTGAGCACGAATCTGGTGTCAGAAATCCGCTATTCTCAACTGATCACCCAAATTTACCGTTTTTGAGTTCGTCTATCTACAGATTGACAAACTCCAGGGGCGATCGATTTCGCCCAAAAATGGGTCTAGGGGACCAAGTCTGACACGCTTAGCACGAATCTGGTGTCAGAAATCCGCTATTCTCAACTGATCACCCAAATTTACCGTTTTTGAGTTCGTCTATCTACAGATTGACAAACTCCAGGGGCGATCGATTTCGCCCAAAAATGGGTCTAGGGGACCAAGTCTGACACGCTTAGCACGAATCTGGTGTCAGAAATCCGCTATTCTCAACCGATCACCCAAATTTACCGTTTTTGAGTTCGTCCATCTACAGATTGACAAACTCCAGGGGCCATCGATTTGGCCAAAAAATGGGTCTAGGGGATCAACTCTGACACGCTGAGCACGAATCTGATGTCAGAAATCCGCTATTCTCAACCGATCACCCAAATTTACCGTTTTTGAGTTCGTCCATCTACAGATTGACAAACTCCAGGGGCCATCGATTTTGCCCAAAAACGAGTCTAGGGGACCAAGTCTGACACGCTGAGCACGAATCTGGTGTCAGAAATCCGCTATTCTCAACCGATCACCCAAATTTACCGTTTTTTGAGTTCGTCCATCTATACAGATTGACAAACTCCAGCCCAGCCAGCAATTTTACTCCGGGCCCAAGCAGGCTAAAGTGCGGCTTGCCCAAGATTTTAGTCGGGCTGAAGTCGGCTAGGGCTTGGGCTAAAGTCGGCGTATGACACAAAAACGCCGACTAAAGCCCATGCTCCGCCGGAGGTATGCCCGCTCTGCGAGCTCCGGACAGCCGTAGCTTAGCCCCAGTTGTGCGACGATTGGCGGTAGCCCGATGTAAGCCCGAGCAAAACGTGACTGGCGCAGAAATGCGCATGCATGAACAGCCGATCAAGTATGGTTCAACTCCGGCTTTACTCCAGTTAGCCAAAGGAGACAACCAGCTTGATCAGCCCGCGCTCCGCCCAAGTTGAGCCTGCTTTGATTGCGCGGGCGGATGTCGGGCTGAGCTGCAGCTGGCCACACTCTGGCATAGCTGCGGCATGCCCAAGCTCAGCCCAAGTAAAAAATACATTGGTTTTGATCGAAGTGGGCAAACCCAGGCTAAGCCCAAGCTGCCCGACGTTTGCCATTGTTTAGCCCAAGCGAATTTCTGGCTGGAAGGGCACTCAAAAACGGTAAATTTGGGTGATCAGTTGAGAAAAGCGGATTTCTGACAGCAGATTCGTGCTCAGCGTGTCAGATTTGATCCCCTAGACCCATTTTTGGGCCAAATCGATGGCCCCTGGAGTTTGTCAATCTGTAGATGGACGAACTCAAAAACGGTAAATTTGGGTGATCGGTTGAGAATAGCGGATTTCTGACACCAGATTCGTGCTCAGCGTGTCACACTTGGTCCCCTAGACCCATTTTTGGGCCAAATCGATGGCCCCTGGAGGTTGTCAATCTGTAGATGGACGAACTCAAAAACGGTAAATTTGGGTGATCGGTTGAGACTAATAGCGGATTTCTGACACCAGATTCGTGCTCAGCGTGTCACACTTGGTCCCTAGACCCATTTTTGGGCGAAATCGATGGCCCCTGGAGTTTGTCAATCTCAAATGGACGAACTCAAAAACGGTAAATTTGGGTGATCAGTTGAGAATAGCGGATTTCTGACACCAGATTCGTGCTCAGCGTGTCACACTTGGTCCCCTAGACCCATTTTTGGGCCAAATCGATGGCCCCTGGAGTTTGTCAATCTGTAGATGGACGAACTCAAAAACGGTAAATTTGGGTGATCGGTTGAGAATAGCGGATTTCTGACACCAGATTCGTGCTCAGCGTGTCAGACTTGGTCCCCTAGACCCATTTTTGGGGCAAATCGATGGCCCCTGGAGTTTGTCAATCTGTAGATGGACGAACTCAAAAACGGTAAATTTGGGTGATCGGTTAAGAATAGCGGGTTTCTGACACCAGATTCGTGCTCAGCGTGTCACACTTGGTCCCCTAGACCCATTTTTGGGCGAAATCGATGGCCCCTGGAGTTTGTCAATCTGTAGATGGACGAACTCAAAAACGGTAAATTTGGGTGATCGGTTGAGAATAGCGGATTTCTGACACCAGATTCGTGCTCAGCGTGTCAGACTTCGTCCCCTAGACTCGTTTTTGGGCAAAATCGATGGCCCTTGGAGTTTGTCAATCTGTAGATGGACGAACTCAAAAATGGTAAATTTGGGTGATCGGTTGAGAATAGCGGATTTCTGACACCAGATTCGTGCTCAGCGTGTCACACTTGGTCCCCTAGACCCATTTTTGGGCGAAATCGATGGCCCCTGGAGTTTGTCAATCTGTAGGTAGATGGACGAACTCAAAAACGGTAAATTTGGGTGATCGGTCGAGAATAGCGGATTTCTGACACCAGATTCGTGCTCAGCGTGTCAGACTTGGTCCCCTAGACTCGTTTTTGGGCAAAATCGATGGCCCCTGGAGTTTGTCAATCTGTAGATGGACGAACTCAAAAACGGTAAATTTGGGTGATCGGTTGAGAATAGCGGATTTCTGACACCAGATTCGTGCTCAGCGTGTCACACTTGGTCCCCTAGACCCATTTTTGGGCGAAATCGATGGCCCCTGGAGTTTGTCAATCTGTAGATGGACGAACTCAAAAACGGTAAATTTGGGTGATCGGTCGAGAATAGCGGATTTCTGGCACCAGATTCGTGCTCAGCGTGTCACACTTGGTCCCCTAGACCCATTTTTGGGCCAAATCGATGGCCCGTGGAGTTTGTCAATCTGTAGATGGACGAACTCAAAAACGGTAAATTTGGGTGATCGGTCGAGAATAGCGGATTTCTGACACCAGATTCGTGCTCAGCGTGTCAGACTTGGTCCCCTAGACCCATTTTTGGGCCAAATCGATGGCCCCTGGAGTTTGTCAATCTGTAGATGGACGAACTCAAAAACGGTAAATTTGGGTGATCGGTTGAGAAAAGCGGATTTCTAACACCAGATTCGTGCTCAGCGTGTCAGACTTGGTCCCTGGGGCAAGTTTGGGCGAAATCGGCGCACCCTGAATATCAAACTGTAGTTGGATAATCAAACTGCTGCTAAATTGACAGCAGTGCTAACTACAGTTTGATATTCAGGGTGCGTCGATTTCGCCCAAACTTGGCCCAGGGACCAAGTCTGACACGCTGAGCACGAATCTGGTGTCAGAAATCCGCTATTCTCAACCGATCACCCAAATTTACCGTTTTTGAGTTCGTCCATTTACAGATTGACAAACTCCAGGGGCCATCGATTTGGCCCACAAATGGGTCTAGGGGACCAAGTCTGACACGCTGAGCACGAATCTGGTGTCAGAAATCCGCTATTCTCAACCGATCACCCAAATTTACCGTTTTTGAGTTCGTCCATCTACAGATTGACAAACTCCAGGGGCCATCGATTTCGCCCAAAAATGGGTCTAGGGGACCAAGTGTGACACGCTGAGCACGAATCTGGTGTCAGAAACCCGCTATTCTTAACCGATCACCCAAATTTACCGTTTTTGAGTTCGTCCATCTACAGATTGACAAACTCCAGGGGCCATCGATTTGCCCCAAAAATGGGTCTAGGGGACCAAGTCTGACACGCTGAGCACGAATCTGGTGTCAGAA